GTAAGAAATTAACTTGGGATTGAACAAAGTATACCCATTTCCTTCACTATAATTACCTCTGCTGTGGACACTGGAATACACAAAAACAGACTATTTTTGAATGACAGTTTTGATAGTAAACATGCTTACAACTTGTGATGGAACCTCATAATATTGACAATTTTGCATAGGAAATTCTTGGATACAAGATGAAGCAAAAGCCTAGATATTTGCCTCTTTTTTAATCTGGCTGACTGATTAGTAAAAAAAAAAAAAAAAAAAATGGAATAACATATGTTCAGAGATGCATAGAGGTTACAAAAATTAAAATTATTTTTTTAAAAAGATTTATTAGCAGGCAAGCAGGAAATTTACCTAACCTCAATCATATGTAGAATCTTGGTGTCACCCTAAAGAAAATGCTGAAAATGTCCCATTGGAATTAAACAAAGACTATCAGTATTCTTCAAAACAATTGACATAAATGATTAAAAAGTTATGGAGGAATTAAGAAACAAACTGTAAATGTTCAGAAACTGCATTGATATGTTTAAAACTTGGCTAGATTTTATAAATTAAATAATATTGACAGGACATTGGTGTTACTTGCAAGAAAAGAGTTTTATTAAGAAATATCTTTGATGAGGCTTTTATCTTATTTTTCGTCTAACCAGGGAGATAACTCAAGTATTTTTAGTGCTCTCCAATAAGTTATTATTTTTATATAAAGGTGGCTAACAAGATAAAAAGACAGCATTTCCATGCCAGCAATTAAATCAAAAACAAAAATTCATTTTGTTATAAAAGTAAAATAAATTTAATAACAATTTTTTTTCGAAAATAGAATTTAAGAAACAATGTAGATAATGTAATCATTCAAATTTCTCTGATTAAGTATTTTTTTTTTTTTTTTTTTACTAGTATTTCCTTCATCTCACATCTAAAATAACACTACTAGTACAGAAATAACCCCCCACATAATGGTAAGACAGTAGTAGTAATTGTGCCTTCATCTAACTAATGTCTTGGTATTTCTGGGAGGTATAGTAATTTACTAAGCATAGCTTAGATGTGACACAGGACCAGAAGTAGGAAGCACCTGGTGAGGATCAAACTCACTACTCAGTTGTAATTGATTTAACGAGACAAGCTTTCGAACTATTACTCCATGCCGAAGTGCCCTTGTCTTATGTGGGAGGTCTTTTTGTCACACCCCGTATGAATAAACAAACCATAGAGGCAATGTGACAGTTGAAGAAAATAAGAATATAACTGTTTACACTGTTTGGACCTTTGTCCTCATCTTTACTGTTACATTCACAACATTTCAGCCGAATACATACAGGAATATAACTATATGACTAATATGAATGATTTCTACAGTTTAGCTTTGATTGTCAAATCAAGTGCTCTCATGGTAAACAGCTTACCAAGAATAAGGAGTAAGAAGTTTATTCTTTGTTTCCTGATTAGGATTGGGTTTCAGGTTCCTTCTAAAACCTACTTCAATTCTATACTTCTGCTGTCTCTCTAGTGGCATTATCACCTTGCTTGGGGTGAATTGATTAAAAAAAATAAAATTAAAAAAAATTTAAAAAAAAATATATATATATATATATATATATATATATATACACACGCACACAAGGTTCTCGACTTACAACAGAGTTCTGTGCCACAACGTGATTTTTTTCTGTGATTAAGCACTCACTCACCAACTATCCAATATGGCATACAACTAGAAACTGATCTATGCTGCCTTCTTCACCCTATCACTGTATGTACAAGGCAAACAGCATAAGTCAAAACGATTAATGGTGACTGCACTGTAACCATGAATCGTCATAGGTTGGTACTGTTGTAACTCAGGGACTTACAGTGTGTGTGTGTGTGTGTGTGTGTGTGTGTGTGTGTATAAAAATAAATGAAAATTCAAAGACATCTCTCAACTCAGAGATCCACAGAGATAAATCTTCCACATCAGGAGCAAGATAAACCATTTGTTTTCAAAACCTGAAATCAAAAGATAAGTTTTAGTTGTTTTATTTATCCATTTACTATTAATGCAGTATATCTTAATAGTGGTCACTTCATATACAGAATCTACTTGACTTAAATGCATTCATATCTAGTAATTTGCTAGTCAATAGGTGGGTTTTTTATGCATAAACAATTTTTTTTTGAGTAATATTCACCCAATACAAGGCCATTCAAGGTAGAAGGTTACTGTGTCATATTGTATGAGTGTAAGAAGAAAAGAAGTGCAGTTTATGAGGTTATGTAGGAAAGATAATGGTTAACTATGGACTTGAAGAAGATTGCAATGATTGGGAAAACATCCTGCCAAGAGTTGGTAACACAAAGCAGCAGTTCTTGGGAAGAAGCTGCTGTGTACATAGCATGGCAGGCCCCAGATGCAAAGGTCTGGGCTGGTGGAACCAAGGAATGTAGCTTGTCAGAACACTTGCCATAGAAAGAAGCAATAGAGAAACAAGAAGTTTGCAAAGTTTCATCTGTGGGAAGGGATTGTAAGGTGATAGTTATTATATATATATAAAATACAACTGAAAAAATTACAAGATGTGTTTTTTTCATGGCAAGCAGAACTTCTGAATATAATATATATATTACACAAAAAAAATCTAAACTGTTTGTGTGACCAACAGACAACCTTCCAAAATACCACCCCACAAAAAGTTGGCGGTTTCCTAATAACAAAACGAAATCACATACAAAAAAAAAAAAAAAAAAAAAATCAAACAAGAAGAAAAGACCAAAAAGTCAAACATCTACCTAATCAGTAAATAACAGTGCCAGGCTATGAAGACAGAGCAAAAAGCAATTCACAGTGTCAAGCCACAATGAGACACAGCTCAAGATACTATTTAAGTTTCACACTCTCATGATTTTCAGGTGACCAAAATGCATATATATATATATATATATATATATATATATATATATATATATATACACACACATAATACATAGATGTATGCATGTATGCCAATTGAGTAAACTATTAAATAATGTTGTGCCTCAGAACCCTTGACGTGGAAATAGAGCAAGATAGAATAGTGAAAGGCTTGTAGCCCTTTGTCTATGGGAAATGGGCTGTAAGGTGTAAAATAATTTTATTACCTACAATGCCAAACTCTATCAAGATAGGCAAGTGAAGACTGAGTGGCTCTAGCTCAGATATGGTAACAATAATCCGTTACTATATATGTGGTTGTGGCCATGAAAATTATGAGGCTAGTAGAACTTCAGCACATATATATACGCACACACACATATACATACATACATACTACTGTGATAAACTATCAAAAAAAAAAAAAAAAAATAACATTAATATTTAAGTAATTTAGCTTTTGCTTGTGTCGAATACTCCTTGAATATGTAAAACAATACAAATAATGTTTGGATCAGCAGAGAATAATTAAGGAGTATTATTTATTAATTTAACAAAATTCTATTTCTACATCCTCAGATAATTACACTAATATTCATGGTCAAATTACTTATGTATATTGACCTCTTCTGGTGAAGAAAAAGTGTTTTTTTCCATCTTAGGTTTACTTGGGGGGAAAAAAGTTTACATTTTCACATTACAGCTGCCAACCACCTAGCGATCACATGAAAGCATAAAACTGTTCAGTAGTGATCAGTCACTATGCACCAGAGATTTATTTCATAATTATATATATATATATATATATATATATATATATATATTGTGTGTGTGTGTGTATATATATATATATATATATACATACATACATACATACAATGTGTGAATGTGCAAAGGGTTAAAATCTTTTCTATAGTTTTTTACTGGTCTATGGAGAGCACTTACAGTTATGATAGTTCACATAGGAATGTCAGTTTCATGTGTTTTTGGTCAACCATAGAGTCTGAGTATTTTACAGTTGTATTTAATACTTTATGGTCTACTAAAAATACATAGAGGAGATGTTCTCATGTGAGCCATCATATCTGGAATTGGAATTGCTGCCCATAGATTGGTGAAAAATTTTAACCACAATACTAGGAACAATTAGCACTTCCCAAATTAAAAATTCTGTCTGATAATATTTAGATAAATTCTCATCTGTATAATGTTTTATCTATGTGATTAATGGAGTAGCACTGGGTTAAGTAGTTTGGAATGGAAGAATTATTATTAAATTGTATAAATTTATATATACATATATATATAGATAGAGAGAGAGAGAGAGAGAGAGATTATTATTGTGTGTGTGTGTGTATATATATATATATATATATATATATATATATAATGTTTGTAAAGAACTTGGCTAGTCTCTTTGCAACCTTTTGGAAGCTGCAGACAAGAATGTATTCATGTCCAGATCCACAAATGTCCACAGAAAAGAAAGAAAAAAATTAAAATATCATTGTGGAATGTTGAAACAATCTATGTTAATAACCATGGTACAATAAAATGAAACTGTACATTTTAGGCACATGAACATCTGAATGGGTCTTAGAATGTTAGTTTTTATTTACTTTTAGGATTGGTAGTAAGATAATAATAAATTAACTTGAAGTGATTGCATTTAATGTTTTTATAACTAAAGGAAAATTACTTTTCTGTATTTAAAAAACAAATAAAAAACAAAAGGGCAATATTCTCTAGGTCAAAAGTTTGGGGCGTTCAACCAAATCATTGTCAAGTCTCCTAATTTTCCTCATATATCAACAGATACTTAGTACGTCTTTTGAAATCACTCCATTAGGAAATAAACATTTTCTATCAATTTTTTTCTTTCTTTGCAGGAGCCATAATTTTTTTTTTTTAATTTTAAGTAGCATTACCTGTAAAATCAAAGTAAACAGAATTAAAAGGTGTTAAATAAAATTTGAAAATGTGAAGAAAGAGAAAAAAATAGGAAAAAAGTTGATTTGCTGCTTTTGCTCCTTTGACTGCTCTGATTTGTTTTGGGGTTTTTTTTTAATTTGTTGGCAAATCTCAACAAATAGTTGTCTGTGTCTTTTTATTCAGTCTTTGCCTTCTTTTTATTAGACCACTTTCGCTTCAACCACTTGAAGGAATGGATGGTAGATATAATCACAGGAATGCTGACAGGCAGGAAGAGAGGAATGTAAATGGCAAACCTAATAAATAATAGCAAAAGAACAGAAATATTAAATAACGAAAACAACAAACTAACAATCTTTCAATATTTTCTCAATTAAACAATGAAATTTTTGAGATATCAATGCAGCCACATAAACACTCTGCTTTTAGCTAATCAAATCCTAAATCACAACAGATAGTAACAGATTTTCAGTTTTACATGACTATCCTTTTTTGATTATCTGTAACTCAATTTTCTGGACTTTGATTATCTGAACATGAAATGGAAAGAAAAATTGAAATCATCTGAAATTTTTTCACATGTCCAAACTAAAGCGATTCAACTTGTAAGGGGAGAGAGGGGAGAGAACAAGGGTAGAAAGGTTTATTCTCTCATTTAATTTCCCCCATTATGAGCATTACTATATCCATGATATAATAACACTGTATTTCAAAGATGGGACAAAATGGCTGAAAGTAAAAGGAGAGATTTTTATACCACTAAGACATACACAATACTATATATATATATATATATATAATATTACACACATACATATATATCTAAAAATTTCCTTATGCCCAAAGGGAAACAAGACCATGTGCTTGTAAGTTGTTGGTGGAGGCAGATTTAGCCTTGGCCCAGGCCTTTTAGCCTGAACTAAAAAAAAAAAACAACCATTTGGTTTGGCTACTGTAAACTGAGTGAAATTGACTGCCACTTTCATCAGAGTATGGAATAATGTCACTAAGCAGCTGTCATGTGACCCACATGATTATCGCAACCTTTTGTATCCTTACAATCTCAAACAAGCATTTTGAGAATTTAGAAAATTATATTCAACATTTGATAAAATGCTGATAAAATCAGTTTGATTAATTATTGTTAATGTGCTCATTGTTTTCATACAAAGAACATGAATTTGAATGATCACAATGACCAGGGTATTGCTGGACTTATAACTGTGCCAGAAAATGCTGAGGAGATTGATAATGATACTATGTCAAAGTTCAACAGCCCCATTGCCCAATTTCAAACAGTGAAGCAAAGATTATGTTGTGCTTTCAACCAGAAGGTCACCTTTTGAATATAACTAATTTTATCCAGCTTTGGGTTTTAATGGCAAAAAAACTTGAGGCCAACCATAAACAGACAAAAATTAATGCATTTTTTTCATTTGAAATAAACTGGCTAAAAACTTGAATGAAACATTTAAAAATGTTATTTGATGATTGGAAAATGTTAGAAAATTACTTTTTCTTTTAATTTTTCTTTTTCAAAAATTTATTTAAATTCTATTTACCATACTTCCTGTATACTAAGAGACATTTTTTTCCTAAAAATGCCACTAGAAATCACTCTGTATTCATCAAGTCATACCATAGACTATCTTCAGAAACCCCAGCCACATAATCCAAGCTGACAGCTACATTTCATATGTATACCAGCCTCATTACTGCACTTTGTGTACCATTGAAACTAGTTAGCTCAGTAGGCCTACCATTAATTCCAAATGTACTGTCAATTCCCAGTATCTACTATCCACCATGTTTGTTTATGGTGATGGTACCACACCGATTAATCTACAGACAAATCAGTTACTGTCATTGAAGCAGACAACGTCACCAACCTTGTTGGCACAGTCCTTCAGTAATAGCAGAATGTGGTAGTGGCAATGCAAAAGCAACACAGCATTTGTGCTCTTGAATGCAGCCCTAAAACATCAGCTGGGATGTAAAAACACTGTATGTTGAGATGCCTTGTGGTGGCAATTAAGAGTTATTTCTGATGTGAATAGATATATAAATTATGCTAAACTATTGAAAATCAAATTAATATTTAATAATAGGTCTAAAATGTTATAATTTGTTGTGATAGAAAGAAAAATGACACTATGGAGTCGGTGATTTAGACTCGCTTGTACAATAAGCTATTAAATGCGTTATATTTTTTTCTTATTTTTGGTACTATTCAGTTGTTGCTCACCCTGTTTCCACTGAGTTAAAGTATAAACTGCCCACCCCAATGACTGAACTCACAATTACTATGTGAACAAGTTCATGAACCAACACTTTAATCCACTAGGCTATTGTATTGTAACTGAGCAGAACTTAAAAATAAGAACTAGACAAGATATCCCTTGACATGTGCAGCGAAATGAGAACAATCTACCCCTGTATATTAAATAAAGGGCTCAGTTTGGAATTCCCTGTAGGTTACCTAGATTGTTATACACCTGAAAAAGGTCAGAGGGCACACCAGTCGAAATGTTGTGATGAGGACAATAGTCCAAATGTAAATAGTGTAAAAAATAATAACTCTCTTCTGATGACTTTCTACAGTTTCTTTGCTTACACTAAACAGTTACTTCTTACAATTCCTGTAGATTTCCTATCATGGCAGAATGTCATATTTTAGGAAAATTTAATTCTGCCAGCTCTTAAATTTGGTATGCAAGAGTAGTCAATATTTTACGGATAATGGTGTATCAGTTAGCAGTCATCACAATAACAACCAAAATGACCAAAACTGAGGAATATTGTATAGACCTCAGATATCAGCATGTTACAATAGGGCCCTAAATGATGTTAACAGAATCAGAAGAGTTTGGTCTTTTTTTTTTTTTAATGGCTGGAGGATAGTCTTTGAAATTTAGAGCTCAAAGCAGTAACTCACTTGAGTGAAGAAGAAAATAATAAAGAAATAAATGAAAAATAGAACTCAAGTGACACTTCATTGGAAACCTGATGTTTCCACTGGACAGTCTCTATATAAACAGAATTCTAGTTAGGCCTAGATAGAGAGAGGAGTTGTCCAACCCGTCATGCCAGTAGCAGTAAGAAAAGTTGGAGAGACCTATGTGCCACCTACCTACTACTAGAGAGAATACTAGGTCTGACCAGGGAACCTAATCAAAATAAACATAAAATTGTTGAGAACCAGATTTGTGTATTCATTTCATGATGTTGATTTCATCTTTCAGTTCTTGTAAAGTTTTTCCAGTTTTCAATTGATTGATCTCTTTTCTACAATTTATCAACCCATTGCAGGTTATTTAAAATATTTTTACATTGTAAGAATTTTTTTTGAGATAATAATGGTTTAGTCTTATTAATTAATCCATAACTGGGGGGAGAAAAGATGGATTCATACCTTTCCCAAGAGTATTTGTGCATAAGTGAATATGATGAACCAGAATAAAATTGAAATTCTGTTCATTGTTTTCCAATTCCAATTCCGCACATCCAAGCTTACAGCACCTGATATTCCCAAGCAGTCACCCAACTATGTACTGACCAGGCTTAACATTGTTTAACTTCAGTGATCATACAAGGTCAAGCCAGAGGACACTAAGAAGCATGAAAGTGGCAATGGTATAGGTCAGTGTTTTTGCCACATAATACAAGATGATTTCACATATTTGAAGGAAAAATGAATGGAAACATGTAGCAAGAGCTAAAGGCTTTAAAAATGAAGTACAACATGTAGAAAACATGTTGCAACTATATCCTAAGTGAAACAAAGGTTGAAACATGTACTTTTGAAGTCCAAATATTGGTATGATGCCTATCTGGCCTTGCCGACAGCATTGCTTATCTAATGGGTTTATCATATTTTAATGGAGTAAAGAGCAAGTCAAATGCATTTCTTATATACTTCTTTACACAATAAGGTTTTGGTAATCACTAGATTAGATATAAACAGAACAGGAAAAATAAACAGAAATCAATAAAGAGATCAGAAAAACAAAAGAATATGTAAACATGACAAACTGAAAATAGAACAATAATACTTACTTTTGATCTTCAGGGAAATAAAGTAATTCAAGTAAGGATTGATCAAAGAATGCTTTCTCTGAAGAAAAAAAAAAAAAAAAAAATATTTGGAGATAAAAACAAGTAAAAATGATTTCTACTCCATTCAATTGCATATAAAACCTACATTTTCAATTTTTAGTATAAGTGTATCCTAGTTAAATAAAAGCTTGTTTACGATGATGTTTACCTTGTACAAGGTCCAAAGGTCACTCAAGATAGTTGGTTACAGAGTAAGAGGGACAGTTTTTAGGGATATGTGGGGAAGCCTGTCCTGATCAGTAAAAAGTAAGAAGATTATATATAAAGATAATATGACATGTAAAGTAAATGCTTTTTTCATCATTAAGCTATGAATTTATTAATTTACCTTGGATTTAACAATTGACTTTAAATCTTTTTCAAGTCAACTGTAACAGTCATCAGAAATTAAATCTAAACGAAACATGTAGACTGAATTTAAGAATAATAGAGGAAAAGACATGTATTATTATATTAGATATAATAATGTCCAATAATTATTGAAGGTTGACTCAAGAGTTTTGTAATTTTCCAATCACTTCATTAATACTCTTAACAAAAATAATTGCATTAATGACAGAAAATCTATTTTAGTAATTTTAAAAATGCACATTTATATGAACTTTCAAATTTAAATGTTGCAATAAAAATGATCAATTTTGTGAGTTCTCCGCAACAATTGAAAAACCAAATAATCATAATGTTTACAATTTAATTATAATTACTGCTCTAATATAAAAATGAGCACTTTGTCAGCAGAAATTCTGTTAAGTTTGATAGAAATTTAATTATGTAATTTCATGTATATTAATTACTAATATTCTGTATTCCTTTGGATTTTGTCAGTACAGCTGAGAGGGGGGACCATGGGGTCTGGTTTAGGTAATACATGGCTTCCATATGCCATCACCCAGGCCAGCACCCTGGAGAGGTCACTCCAGTTTCACTACCAAAGGACTGACTGAATTTTGACCAAACAGGACACTACCATTATTTCGCAAGGTAAATGGGTGCCAACTACTAATTTCTTACTTTTTTTTTTTAATCATTTTACCCCAATCAAAGCAATAAAACCACTAAGACACAAGGGGTTACTGAGTGTGAAAAAGTATAAGAAAAGGAAAAAAGATTATTAAGGAACAAGAACAATAAAAGAACAGAAGTAAAGAAGACAGAAGATAACAAGTGACATAGGTATATATATATATATATATATATGGTTATATATTATAATACACAATTATAACATTCAGCAAGAACATTCTACAAACATTTTATTTTAAAATCTGGAGGCTTGTGGAATTTTCATCAAAATCCTGACACATGTATAAATTAATTTAAAGAAAAAGTGCTTATATGTGTGAGTTTCATACCTGATGAAATGACAGCTTTCTTGGAAGCAAAAAATGCTTCTCTGTCCTTTCCTGCTGCCAACAATTGTAAACTGTCTTTGATGCTGGAAACAGCCATCTGAACCTAGAACAAAAAAGGTTAAATGGAATCAAAATATAGTTATAATATAATATGTTCTATGCTATGGCTTGACCTCAGAAGGTCATAGTTGGAATCAAGGTCAAATGGGAAGGAAGGCCAAGTCATATGATTCATGTAAATGCATGATTACATGGCTTTAACTATGAGAAAGCACAAATTTTGACCGGTCCACATGTGCTATCAGAATGGAACCAAAAGCAGAAACAACAGAAAGAGATGATATAACAATACATGTTCCCAGAGACATGCAATACAGTTTTAAATCTCAGTAGATGTTACAATTTTATTTTTTAGTGCTAGCTTATTAGATGGAGAATCTAAAATGGCCCCCAACATTGTGATGAAAAGAAACAATAATGTCACCAAAAATTAATGACAATGATTAGTCTTAATTAGTTAATTGGATTAATAAATTAAATCAGTGGATTACTGATTAAAAATTATCTTTGATCATTTGATCATAGTTTTAATGGCATATGAACTCTGTTGGTTATTTAATGCTGACATTTTTTTTTTAAATTGAATATATTGTTTGTAAACAATCTTTTGGGTCATTTGTTCCATCACTCTCTCATTAGGCTTTTAGAACAGAGTTATTTAGTGCCATAATTTGTGGTATAGAGACCAACCTCCTTCAAGTAGGCTAGGATATTTTATCTTCTTGAATAGATCTTCTAGACCAGTGGTCCTCAACCACCGGGTCGCGGATCATTTGGTACCAGGCTACACTGAAAGAATAAAAGCTTTTTTTTCCCCACCATTTTATTGACTATCATGTTCTTTGTTATTGTGTTTTATTATGTGCATGACCAACAATGACACTCAGCCCCCACCAAATCTGGTCCATGGAAAAATGTCTTCCACGACACCAGTTGTGGTGCAAAAAGTTTAGGGACCGCTGTTCTAGACTAGTCATGTCATAAAATTATTGATGTATCATGACAAAGTCACTAATATCAGTTAGAATATGTTTTATAGTATATGACTCCTGACATGCTGTGCATTAAGGCCGATGTTCATTTGTTAAGTAAAACAAGTGAGTAACATACAGCTCAGATAATGCTATTATACAACTATGTTATGTCAATAAAGCACTATAAGTTATAAAACACATACTATGTGAGGATATAGATATCTGGAACAAGTTTTGAAATGCTAGGAATTATATTATTGATTTAAACTGAAAAAAATAGTCAAACTTGCTGGTATTACGCATCTTGGTCATTTTGAGCTTAGAAATAGTTTCTTAGGTATCAATAATAAGGATAAAGTAACATTGTTTAGTATTCTTTAATATTACATAAATCTAATCTGTCCAACAATCTTTCCATTCACATCCCTATGTGATCTCCTTTGGCAATAAAACCTTTATTAGTCAGGTGTCAGGACCATTGAAGTAGTCAAACTTTGAATTGCAGATCACATTTATTATTTATTGCTTCCTTCCTTTGTATAGCTTCTGCTTGACAATTACCCAAAGGTTCTCAATGCAGTTGAGGTCTGGAGATTGAGGTGGCCATTCCATAAATTGCTTGGCTTTGAATTCATTTCACTCTAGAAATGCCTTTGTTAACTTAGCTGCATGCGATGAAGCATTGTCTTGCATGAAAATCATCTGGTATTTGAAACTTCATGATCTTTTATTGTACCAAGGTATGAACTTTAAGTTAAAAAATTTGACATAGTTTTCAGTATTCATTTTCAGTTCATCTTCTATGAAGAAAGGTCCAACGATGGTATCACCAATAATTGCCACCCAGAACATAACTCCTCCTCCACCTTGCTAACATCTGAAGTGGGTTGGGCATACACTGTCGTCTGCCAACCACACTCTGGCAAAGGTGTCAGGACCATTGAGAGTAACTTGACATTCATCTATGAAGAAAACAGAGTTGAAATTGTATTTCATGTAGGCATTTGCCCATGAAATTCTTTTCCTGATGTTAGCTTTTGATAAAGGAGGGCTTGATTGAACTTTAACAACTTTTGTAAGCTCATTCAAGATATTATTCCTTCTAGCTCTGTTCATTCTAGCTACACCAGCTTCTTGAAATATCTTCTTGCTAGAACCTAACAGATATTTCTTCAAAGCCAGAGTTATCTTATTATCATTATTTTACTTTTATCTTCATTTTACCAGCATCAGATCTCATTTTCTGGGTACAGTTGATGTTAGAAATCACATTCTTGATCATCTGCACATCTCTCTTAATCAGCTTTGCAATATCTGCTAACATATTTACAATTTTCTTCTCTACTTAAATCTTTTCCTTTTCCCATTCTGATGTTTTCTATCATTTCAAAAAATACGAAAATCAAAAATACGACATTCAGAGCAGTGGTAACCTGTGGTTGCATAATAGCCTTATCCACTAAAATCCTGCCTCAAATTGCAATATCCACTATAGCTTTGCCCAGGAACACACTGGGAGATCCAACTGCCTGTTATACAATGTAACTACCCAATGGTCAAACTGGTAGTTAACCAGTTTCCTCTCCAATTAATACTTCAGATATAATCAACGTTTTAATGATTTGAATAATAATGTTATCCAAGCTGCAGGTGTGTCTTATTCTGCTTCTTTATAGGACGACTTCTTCCTTCTGTCAAAATCTGAGACCGTGATGCCATTCTCCTAAAATGGGTTTAATTTTATAACGTTTATTGTTTAGTTGATAGTTTCATGATTCTTACCACTGAATTATCTATGAAGTCACACTACACCACCATAACCCAACACGTACAAACAACTTACCTCTTGTCCAATAGCATCTTTAATGACAATATTACTAATTTCTCCAAGAAGTTTAGCAAGAGACTGTAATGTTGATGTTGAACTAACAACATTTTCAACTGCTGAAGTTCTTAACCAGCCAGCGACTTCCTGCAATTTAAAAATATACAATTCCTATCACAATAGAATAAATAGACAAAAATATACAAATAATAAATAAAGCCATAACAACTTGTACATACAGCTTTAATATTCTTTCAGGCCCAATTATCATCATGGTGCTATGCTAAAATAATGAGAATATGAACACGTCAGTCTGTTCATCTATCAAGTGCCCAAGAATTATCCATGTCTTGCTGAATATTCCACAGATATTTTGAAATCACTCCACCATGAAAATAAAGAATCTCATCTTTTATTTCTGTCTGAATTTCTGGGAATTAGGAGATATCATAATTTACAGAATTTACATTCGGACTATTGTCCTCATCTTTGTTGTTATCACAATATTTCAGCCATTGCCCCCACCCCGTCTTTCTTCAGGTGTACACAATCATCCAGAAAATATTAACTATTCTTGCGTACCAAATTTAAATGCTGACAGGCTTAAATTTTCCTAAACTGTAAGAAATTCTTTACCAAGACATTTCCTCTTCTGAAGAACTTTATCATGACAAACATAAGAATTTTACCTTGCAACAAGTATTTATAAACAGAAATAAAATAAAAAAAATAAAAAAACATTGTTAGATTTTTTGAAGATTTTAAATGTAAGAACACTCTGGCACAGTGAACCAACTTTCCTAGCAGTAGACTTAGCAATTGATTCAATATAATCACTCCACTTCATATCAGTGGAAAACGTGAGTCTAAGGCAGTACAAAAGTTGCTTTCCTGTAGTTTAGCATCAGTCATGCTGATGGAAAGCAGAAATAGTTCTCTATGGTGATTAAATGAAAGTAGTTTTTTTTTTTTTTTTGGAGGTGTTAAAATTTACAAACCACTCCTTGCCCCAGTTAACCACTGACTGAAGGTCCTTTGGACCTATCTGACTTGCTACTAAATGAAAATGAGAAAACTTTAGTGAGGAGAAAGGACAATAAAAGAACATGTTTCAGGAAGACAAGATAGCAATTAGCATTGCATTTAAATTTTTGAAGATTGTATATAGCAGGGAAACAAGAAATCAGAAAAGAACTCCACAGGCAAGAAAAGAAAGTATGAGAATAGAACATATGATTACATCTAGCTAGTAAAACAGTGATTGGCTAATTGTCAATCTAGTAGTATGTTTAAATTCATGGAATTGTGGCACTAAGGAAGAAAACTCATCAGAACAATTGGCATGAAAATATTTGTAGAAAAGACAACACGCCACATCAGTGATAAATTGACTGAAGTTGAAATGCCAGGTTAGGAGAGATTACATTACTGACCTGTTTTTGGATTCTATCAAGAATCTTAAGATATATAGTAGGAGCATGAGAGCAGATATGGTACCAATATTCAATGTATGGATGAATAAATATGCAAAAGGGATTCTGACAAGAAAAATTGTCTGTCACGACACAGTGAACCAACTTTCCTAACAGTAGACCTAGCAATTGATTCAATATAATCACTCCACTTCATGTCAATGGAAAATGTGACTTATTGTGACTTCTTAAAGTCACAATAAGTTTCTCTCCTGGAGGTTAGCATCAGTCATGCTGATGAAAATGGTTCTCTATGGTGATTAAATGAAAGTAGTTTTTCTCTTTTGGAGGTGTTAAAATTTAGAAACCATTCCTTGCCCCAGTTAACCACTGATTGAAAGTCTTTTTCAAGAGTAGCTGCTAGTTCTACTTTATTGGATCTATCGGACTTGCTACTAAGACAGGGGTTAATAGTTGTGTCATCAGTATAACTACCTAGTTGGGAAGTGATGTCGTCAGGAAGACCATTTTTGTTAATTTACAAATATGCAAGAGAAATTCTGATAAGAAGAATTGTCTGACGCAACACAGCAAAGCAACTTTTGCAGTAGTAGACGTAGAAATTATTCAATATAATCACTCTATTTCATGTTAGTAGAAAAGAAGGCATAAAGTACTACTCTCCTGGAGTTTAGTATCAGCCATGCAGATGGTAGGCAGAAAAAGTTCAAAGGAAAGCAGTTTTGTTTGAAAAGCATTAAAATTTACAAGTCATTTCTTGCCTCAGTATACCCCTTCATTAATATGAAATGAACTAGAAGTGCATCCATCCAACACAGCCTTCATTACATGATTTGTTAGGAACTATTGGATTAAGCCAAATATTAACCCAGAAACACCATAGTCCTTGAATTTCTGGAGAAGACCAGTATGCCAAATGCTGTCAAACACTTTTGAGTTATCTAGTGCTACAGCTCTTATCTAAAGCTTCATAGACAAATTCAGCAATTACCCATAACACATTAGTGGTAGACCTGGAGAAATGCAAGTCATAGTGTTTGTCCAAAAGGAAGCCTTAGTGAAGTAAGATGCTTAACCAATTTAATGTTGATTAGAACCTCTAATACATTTCTAAAAAGTGGTAAGAGACTAGTATGGCTATAATTTGAGGGGTCAGAAGATTCCAGTGTTCTTAAAGAAAGGAAATACAGAGGACTTCCAACAAGATGGAAATCAAGAAGTAGTGAGGCATTTATTGTAAAGTGTGGAAAGAACAGGACCAAGGTCAGACACATATTTCTTTAGGACAATTACAGAAATACTGTCGAATCTGCAAGATTTGTAGGAATCTAGTTTAGAAATGATAGCAGAAACTATGGACAAAGTTGTGTTCTGGAGGTAAATCAAGCAAAGATACTCCAGATAAGTTGAGCATAGTTTTGGAAGAGAATTTCTGAACAAAGCTCTCTGTTTATTTTGAGTAGATGACAACACTTCAAATTTGAAGATACATGTTGAATTAAGAATCGAGTCCTTTACTTCAAACATCCAATGACTAAATACTCTCATTGTTTATTGCATAAAGTATAGTTTAAATTAAGTAAGAGTCTTCTTTTTTTTCTCTTCCTTTCTCATCTTCCCTATGCCCCTCTAGCTGTGGGTTAATTAGTTATTTAATATCCCTAAATCATTATTATTGAAAAAAAAAAAAAATTACAATCTAAAAATGTTTTCTAGCTTTACATAATCTGCAAAAAAAAAAAATCAATCAATCTTCCTCTCTTTGACTGTAAGCAATCAAGTAACTAGCAAAAGTCATGTGTTAAAAGTGGTGTTAATCCTGAGTGACAAAGATTCTCCAGGCAACAGACAAAAAACTCACTGGAAAGAAAAAGCATTGGCTTTTATAGAGTTTCACTGGATGATCTCATTCCAGTCAACAGGGGTGACATCTCTATTAAATGATGCAGTCTCTAGCTGGTGAAGGGAAGGTTGTGAGCTCACTCCCTGCACTGGGCAGTAAATTGTATTTTTATTTTTCTCTTCAAAAAACAAAGTAATTCAATGAAGCACTACACATGATAGGCAAGTAGATGTTAATGCAGAAATACTGGCAACTTTTAAACATACCCATTCTGTTGCACCTCCAGTTCCTGCTGGTGTGAATAACAGATCTTGTTTCTGTACCTGGAAAAAGTCAAACAATTATGGTGACAAAATTAAAATAAAAATAGTGTTTTATATCTGTTTACAAACTTTTAGAAAAGTGCATGCATGTGGGTGTATGTGTATATACAAATCAAAACCTATCCACATTTCTCATCCACACATGACAGACATGCTTACGGTGTTGAGGCCTCACGCTTATACACACACTCACATGAATATACACACTTACACACATCATACTCCCTCCCTCACTAATGAGCCAAATGATAACACACACCCTTAGTAATATACATGCTTACACACATCATACTCACTCACTAAGAACCAAATAACACACACACACACACACACTTAACAGAGACACATCCCCTTTCCAGGAACCAATAAAACTGTCAAAATGACCAAGGGAATTCAGAGCAGCATGAATCCATCCAGCTCTTATCTCAAATAACAACTTTGAGACTGTTTGACCAACACAAAGACTGACCAAAATTCATGTTAAAAAAATAAAAAAAACTAATGAAAACTACAGACAAAAGTTCATTTTCTCCATCAAGACATTCATTTCTGTAGTTCACTGCTACCAGCAAGCAGAAAATTATTTTTCTCCTGATGATGGCCATGTTGGCCGAAACTAGTCAAAGAATATAAATGAAATAATAATAAAAATGAAGGAATATTAATATACAACCCGGTGTGTCTGAAGATTTTAATTTTTTAATATATTTTATTGTTCTATATATATATATATATATATATATATATATATATATATATATATATATATATATATTAGTGAATACTCATTTCAGTAAACACTGTTTTAAACAATATTTATTTTATGTAGTGGACTGAATGCTCAAGAAAACTTAATAAAGAAATTGTGCTTTCCAACAGGATTTGAACCTGTGTCACCTTTGCTGGAGGATTCACCAACTAATCCAATGATTCTCAACCACCATGCTGTGGCACACTAGTGTATCACCTGATCCTCTTAAGTGTACCACAAAATATTGTCATCGAAAAGTAAAATTGGATTTGAAATCCCTTCATAAATGCTCTTAATAATATTGAACTTCAGTTATGTGAAGAAGAAGAATTGGCTACCATTTCTAGTGATCAAGAGCTCAAAATAAAACAATCAACATTACCAATTGATACATTTTGGATTTCAGTACAAAAGGAATATCCCACATTAGCTAAAAAGGCTTTATCAGTTTTATTGCAATTTTCTGCTTCTTATTTATGTGAATTAGGCTTCTCAACCCTAAATAGCATCAAAAATAAGATGTGAGAAAGACAATGCTCAACTGAAGACAAAATGATGATCTGCTTATCACACATTTGACCAAACATTGAAGAAATTGCAAAAAAAAAAAAAAAAAAAAAAAAGCAAGCAAGCACAGGTATCACACTAAATATGGTGCACAAATAAGTAAAATGAAACATTGAAATAAAGTAAGTTAATATTTGTCTATGTAATTTTTTTTTAATGTATAGTTTTATTTCATAACATTTAAAAGTATAACCTTTAAAAGTTTTGCTAAGTGTGCCATGATGTTTTCATTTGCTCCTTGGTATGTCATTGCTTAAAAAGGTTGATCAACACTGATTTAATCTAAAGAGCTTCACAATAAAGCAAGGTTCTATTTTTCCTTTAAAGTAAAGCTTCCTGATATGGGGAAAATTTATTAATAAATGGTACTCTATTATTTAAAACAAATGATTTTTCAGGATGCTAGTCCTACTATTTAATCTATAGCTAGGGAGATGAGATGTATTGATACCTTTCCCAAAAGTATTTACACATAAGTGAATGTAACAAACCCAACTAAAATCCAAAATCGGTTCTATGATTTCTCATTTTGTTACACCACCCACACATCTTCAAGACATTATATACATTTAGTATTTAGTGCTAGTTCCAAACCAGTTTAAACATAATAGCGTGTAATGCAACCTGTTTTGTGACATTTTTTTTATTATTATATTATGTGTTAGGGGTGTCATTTATCTTCAGAGTAACCAATTGAGACCAAAATGGCAATACCTGTGAGAAATTACCATCAGCATCTTTACAATCATTTATTTCCAGTAAATGGCCAGTTCTTATTTTTCACAAAATGGGCCAGCACAGCCAGGCAACAATTTTATAACAATGCTACAGTGAAAGTGTTGTAGGAAAATGAAATAAAATCAATAAATTAAATAATAATAAAGAAAAAAAGAAATACATTTTCTCATGATGTAAGTAATAAAGGAAGCATGAAGATCAATTTTATGGCATCACTTCAGAAAGGATAGAACATTTCTTTCTCCACTTTCCAACACATGATGTTTGGACCTGCCTTGCAGCTCTACTCATGAAGTACTTTAGTCGTCCCAACTTGGCATAAAGCTGACTTGAGCTCAACCATTTTAACCATTCTTATCTTTACTTACTCTAACTTCAAGACCAAGAAAAAGAAAAACAGACATACCATAACCATACTAAAAACCCTCCAATAATGAAGTACAAACTTTTTTTTGGTTGTCCCAACTCTGCACAAAGCTGACTCGAATGCAACCATTATAAGAATGCTTATCCTAACACCTGGACCAAAAGGAAAACATATATACCCAAGAGACACTGAGAACTTTGTTTCACTAGAGTTTATATAAAAAAAAGAGAATAAACAGTCTGTAGTAAAATCCCAAGTTTTTGAATGCATCTTATTTAATCATTTACATATGAACACACACACACTTACAATTAATACTAACACACAACATTTAAATTCCAGTGTTAAAAATTAATAAACTGATTTAAGCCCCTATATAAGACAAACAAAATTTATTTTTTGGTTCTCTAACACATAGAAGTTAAAATTATATCTGAAAAAAAAAAAAAAAAAAAAAAAAAAAGTTATCAGACTTTGATCCCAACAAAATTTGTGAAACATTTAATATTAAAATCAAAGTCACCAGTTTGGCAAGCAACTCTTACCTCTAAATTGAGCAGCATTCGAATCTGTGTAATGAAAATTTCCATGATAGTATGTAAGTCAATGTCAACTCTCTTTGGTAGTGTATCATTAGGACCAGGAGATTCAGTATTGTAGATATGGATGCCACCCCAACGAGGACTCAGAAAAGAATTGGTTGCATCCTGTTCTCCTGCAAACATAAAAAGACAATTATTTCAGGAAATATGAAATTACTTTGATGATCAACTTTATTTACAAAGAAAAAATACTGAAATTTATTGCATCAATTTTTTTTCAACAAACATACATATATCTTATTTACATACATTGTTTAACAATTGTCCTATTTAGAGGGGAAGAATGTTCAAGATAAGACATAAAGAATTTGTAGATATAGACAATATGGACATAGAAATCAACCAGTTTTACATTTCAAGCAATTTTCACACAATATATATATATATATATATATATATATATATATATATATATATATATATATTTTACATCTAAACTATATTCATCCTACTTCATTTTTTTTGCAGGTCATCAGAATGAATATATATATATATATATGGTATTTTACATCTAAACTAGCTATTCATCCTACTTCATTTTTTTACCAGGTCGTCAGAATGAATATATATATATATATATATATATATATATATATATATATCTAAAATTCATCCTACTTAAAGTTACCAGGTCGTCAGAATGAATATATATATATATATATATAATAAAAATATAGTTTTAAGTTATGCTATATTTATGGGTTAAATTGCTCAATGTCAGAGATAGAGAATATGTAAATATAAAAGTGGACATTGAGGTCAAACACCCAGTGGCAACAGTCTGTTTCATGTTTAAATGCAATCTTCCCTGAAGAATCTGTTAAAGCATAAAACAGACTGTCACCACTGGGTGTTAACCTCAAAGTCCACTTGTGTGTGTGTGTGTGTGTAAAAAGTATATTAGCAAAAGAAAAACTTATCCAAACAAATTTTCATGGCCTGTCTGCTTAATATTTTATTGCATTTTTCAATATTTTTGTTTGGTAACTTAGAAAAATAGTGGTCTCTTTTATGAAGAACTTATTTCCTTGCTTACAAAAATATATTTCTCATGATATATTAAAAAAAATGGGTTACCACCAAATGTTTTTCAATTTATTTCACTCAGTTTAATTTTTCTCTCCCATCAGATCAGATGAAATTAAGACATCCCTGTTTTGTCCATAGAGATTCTTACAGCAAAGCAAGGCTCAATTTAAGAAATTTACCTTTCTTGTTGGGATTCTTTCATGTCTATATCTGCTAACTTATATTTTCATACCCAAAATCTAACCAAAATAATTTTTACTTTTTTTTTTTTTTTTTTTAACATAACATAACATAACATAACATAACATAACATAACATAACTTTTTATTACTCTAACTTTTTTATTGGTTTGTTTATGAAAAATAAAAAGCAAGGAAACTGAAAATTTAAACAAGATCTGAATGAAGAATCCTTTGATGTTGTTTTTGGTTTTAAGGTCAGAGATTGGTCATTTTATGACTTTTATACTTCATCTGAATAAACAACTTTTATACTTCAACTGAAAGTCAGAATTGTTATTAAGTGACAAAGGAGGTCAAATGACTCAGGGTTTTTGTTAGAAGAAAAAAATTAGTGAATAAAATATAAAAATGAACACCAACTTACCATTTTCATTCCGTATATACAAAGGACTTTGATCTCTGGTTGGTACATAAACAATAAAATTTAAGTTGGGATTGTTCGATGCTTGGAATCCTGGAATTTCAAACAGTCAGCAATAAAGACAAATTGACAATCAGCTTTTGATCTTATTCTTTCATTTAATAATTCAGACTAATTTTACTGTTTTTTCAAAAAAATAAAACAATTTATTTTTATTACATTTCTATCAGCAATCACTTGCCTTCTCTTTTGTGACCAATGTTAGTTGTTTTTATATAAATAATAAAGTAAAAACAACTGTGGAGATCCATGATTGCCTATATCATGAAAGAATGTGGCATTTTTTTTTTAATTAAATTTAGATAAATCACTCTCAAATGTATTCTTATTTTATGTTTACCTACATAAGTCATCACAGACAAAGAAGAGACCTGAGGCAAAAGAGATGTGGTTCTACAAAAGAATGCTGTGAATACCATAGTCAGAACATGCGAGTAACAAGAAAGCTTTTAGAAAAAACTAAAAGACTGACTTCACCAAAAACATTAAATTAAATCTTCACTTCATTGAATGGTTTACTTCAAAGAAAAATACAAAACTGAAAAAGTAAAGGGCGATAATTGTCATATCTAAATAGTGCTTTTAGGTACTTCCACAGAAATACGATACCAAAGGTTTAAAATTAATTTTAAAAATAAAAAATCTTTCTTGAATCTTTTATTTTAGTTTTAATTTCAAGCTAATAGGTAAAATGTAATCTTTCCAATATGCAAAATACTTTGCTGCATTTCAAACTTAATTTAAATTAACTGAAAGGAGTTTTTGTTTTCAAATCACTAAACATCACAAATTTTAGTGCCATTTTTCAGGTCATCACAATGTAATTCTCTTTATTAAAAAATCTTTCAAAAATAAAGTATACTTTTTCTGAAACTTTATTAAAGGAATATTAGCTGATTTAAAGTTTAATTAATCTGACTTGAAACAAATATTAATTACTTTATGTTTAAAATATCACAGAAATGTATTTTTAACAAGCGGCAGATGTTTATTTAAGGTATTGACATGTTGACAACTTGACAGATGGAAGTTCATCTAATGTTTTCCTACGGTGCATATATCAAAATTAAAATATAAAATTTCTTGAGGCATATATAAAATGGGTAACTTTTTTATATAATTTTTAACTACTCAGTAATCTGAAAAATTTAGAAAAATATTTCTTGTAACCTAATGTTTTATTAAATTTTAGGTACTTTGGCTTTAAATTTACTATAGTTATCACTGCAAATTTTTTTTTTTTAAGACAATAGTGTCGATAATATATAAGCAATTAAAAGTTTTTCTAATTAAATGATGCCTTAGTTTCATTGTATTGTAATTTGCAATTCAGAACAGATTTTTGGTAACTGAAGGTCCTGTTTTACAAAAAGAAATTGATGATTTAAATTCTCCAAGTAGTTCTGCTTTTAGCATAACATTAAGCTCTACAAAATGTAATTTCACAAAATTTCATAAAATTAAATAAGTGGAGAGGAGGAAAATAAATAATTTCATTAAGTTGTGAATAATTCCTGAAAGTTTCATTAAAATCTGACAATTATTTAATTTTTGCAAGAATTTCCAAATCAATGTTTTTCACTACAAAAAAGACACTAAAATTTGCTATGCTAATTTATAGTCTTCCCACTGCTACAAAACAAAATTTTTAACCAAAATTTTGAACATTCTAAAACGGATAAAAAAATGTAATTTAATAATCAAAAAATTCTTCAGTCTTTCCTCTTAATAATAACAAAGAATATGATAATAAAACTTTGTTTTTATTAAGTTTGGGTCAATTTTTTATCATGGTATGCTAATTTTTTAGCTAATCAGTGGAGGTACCTACTTTCATGTATCAGTTAAAAATTATACTCATTAATTTGATTGTCGTTTATTTACCATAATGAATGCCTGACACATCAATTGGTTTGTTTAAGATTACTTAATGTTGAAATCAAAGCCAGGAAAACAATTGTCTTTTTTTCCAAGTTTGGTTTGGTTTACGGCATATCAACCTCAATGGGTTATTTAATGCTGACAAGATTTTTATAGTTTCTTTTCAAAAATGTACTGCTGGCAATAAATTTTTTCTTTAAAAATATATTTGTTTATTTTTTTTTTTTTTTCAAAAACATATTGCTGGTAATTTTTTCCTAAAATATATTGCTGATATTAAAATCAATTTTTACACTTTCATAGTGCTTTGACAACAGTTTAGCAGTTAACTATTTGCCCATAGCTAGGACCCAAATAGGTGCTACCACCCCAGGTCAGGGTGAACCTGGGAATACCAACAATTCCACACTCCTCAAAACCTCATGATCAGAGGCTTTGCTGTCGGATGTAGTTTATCATCTTACCCAGGACATTTTTTTCCAAGTAATGAAAATAAAATATAAATAAAAAAAATTATTAAAATATAAATATTAAATAAATAAAAAAGTATTATGAATTAATACAGAAAACTTTTTAAAAATATTTAATTTATTTACACATGTATTTTGGATATGACAAATATTTAAATGGGATTGTTTTTTTGCCATTTTTACATATTCCTAGAATAGAATCAGAATATTAAGCCATATTATTACATGAATGAAAACTTCCAGTGATAAATTTATGGATAAAAATGGATTCATTGGCATAAATAAACAACAAAATTTTTAAATAACACATCATTTAAAAAAAAAAAATCAATAGATATAAAAGTTATCTCTCTTTAATTTTTTTTTTTTTTTTTTGGTGAAATGAGCCATTTGATCAAGTTAAAGATTAAATTTAACAGGTTCAGTGTAGTCAGTTTGAGGGCAAATGATATTCACTGTTAGGATTAACTCCCAAGAGGTTTTACTATTTTGTAATTCAGTTAACTCACCATTAATCTTATATATATATATATATATATATATATATATATACGAGGATCAGCTGAAAAGTTCATAGTTCAGACTATAACAGTTGTAGCTGTTGTATTCTAGTACACTTGCATGACTTTTAGTCTACCAACTAGTGTGTCTACTTACATTTATATCTTGGTCAGTCTATGAACTTTCCAGCCAAACCTCATAGATTGGTATATTATATCTTCCACATAAATAAACAATATATACTTTACCCAGTTTAGTTTCAAGAGGATTGATCATATGTGGGAGTTCTTGTAAATTAAGAAAGTTTTCTTTGGTCTCAGAATTTCTGTATGGTCTTACATAAAAACCTGGATAAAACAGAGTCTGCAAGAAAAGTGAACAGAGTGGGTATCATTTGAAAACAAATAAAACAATAAATCATTTTAAAAATTACAAATTACTCTAATAAATACTGAACCTTAATGTACTGAACAAATAGCCTAATTATGATATTAAAATACCTATTGAGTTTGTCCAAGACATTCCCCTTGTCAGGAGGTGGCATTAGGAATATTCAATTCTAATTTTATTCAACAGGATCACGTTTGACTGCTGACATAGCAGAATGCATTTTAAAAAAATACTTTTCAAAACTGGCAGATTTTCGTTTATTGATTCTAACACTGAAGATGGAAAAAAATGTTTATGCTCTCATATTAAAAAGAAGTTAGACATCTCTATTCATTAAAATACTTTGCAAGTAATAAGAAATAAAAAGATTATAGATTCATACCTGAGACTTGACAGTGATATTTACAAAACCACGCATTTGATCTAGCAGAGGTTTTAAATACACTGAAAAATAAAAGTACTATTTAATTGGTAGCAAAGGAAGAATACATTTTCTTCAAAGAAATTTGAAATCAGAAAATTATTATTTATATATATATATATATATATATATATATATATATAGAGAGAGAGAGAGAGAGAGAGAGTGTGTGTGTGTGTGTGGAGATAAGAAAAATAGAAAGGCTCATATACACTACAGGTAAAAAGTTTGGTGCCACCCTACATTTCTTTAAAAAAATCACCTTAAAATGAGATATTTTTGTATTTCTATACAAGATAAAATTTCAATAACTACAGTGTATTTGCTTTTATTTTGACAAAAAAAAAAAAAAAATAAGCACATAATTATAAAAAAAAATATCATACAACAGCATAATATTTCTTTTGCCAATAAAACTACCTTAATTACTGCTTTATAAATTCTTGGCATTCTGTCCAACATTTTTTTTAAAAAGTAAATGAAAGACCTTCCCAAGCATTCTTCAACTGCTGAAAATGCTCACTCTCACTCTCTGGGTATTCTCTTCAAACTCTCCTGTCCAATTCAGTTGACTGAGGCAGCCAAGCTATAATTTCCAAATTTTCCTAAAAATGTTGCTATTTCTTTTTACTTTAGTTCTGCATTTCAGAATGACAAAACTGAAGTAAAATGAAGAAAATATTACAATTAATATTAATAATTGTTTCAGTCATGTTCATATAAAGAAAAAAAATTAAAAGTCCTGCAGCTGCTTTGTTATCAAAAGCAATTTCAAAGAATAAAAGTATCAACAGAAAATTACAGAACTTACATCTGATTCCTTCTTTCATATCCCACCTGGCATCAATAATATCAGGTTGAGGACTAAAGAGAGTAAAAGTGATGTCATAATCAGTGTGGAAGCGTAACGAACGCATGCTCTCTTTGTCTGGCTGGAAAAATAAATGGAAAACAATGATAAAATAAAAGGATTAACACGGCAACAGTATCTATAACAATATATTTAGCAACATTGCATGACCAAAAACATTATGGCAAGCATATAATGCCAGCCTAACAAGAAAAAAGTGGAAGAGACAAAACAACAAATGAAGATAAGACGTGATTGAGTTAAGTACAAGGGAAAGTAAAAAAAAAAAAATATCTGCACTTTTGTCATAACATTTCTTTAGGTTTGTCACACAGCCTTCTGCTCATGGGTGCTTATAGTTGGTACAATTGTGGTCATGTAATTAAAGTTTGAGCTTGATCATGCTAGTTTTATTGGTGCTGTTAAAGTGTAAACATGTCTGCTCTGCTAGAAGTGTGCACCAAGGAAGAAGAAAGAGCAGTGATCTGAATCTACAGAGAACATGCTACCTCATTGATGATAACTCATCAGTTTTCCATTGCCATCTCTTTAACAAACTGAATCTTCTCATCACTGACAGAGATTTACAGAGATCCTGCTACTTCTTCATGCATCATGCTTATCCAGTCACTTCTTGATCCACTCATGCACACTTCTATGCAATAGTACACTGTCAACGTAAAAGCCTCTGATGAATTTCAGCCCATGACAAATCTCCCAACCACAGAAATCGGATTACTGCACTTTTTTCCTCCTTGGTGCACACTGCTAGTAGAGTGGCCATATTTACACTGTAACAGCAGCAAGAAAACTGGCACAATCAAGCTCAAATTTTGACTGCATGACCACAATAGTACCAACTATAAGCACACATGAGCAGAATGCAGTGTGACAAACCTAAAGATAGGTTATGGTGAAATAATAATTTTTTACTTACCCTCATAAAAGATCTTTTTTATTTCCCCTAGGAATGACAGGTTTCAGTCATTTGTTCATTCCAGGGTATATCGTATATCAGTCATGGCAAAGTAAAAGCTGAGGTTTATATTTTATTTCAACTTTAATTAAACTTCACAAAGTTACTTTTCTTCAAGGTGTCTTGGATTGTGGGACCGACTATCACTAGCGATGAGGTTCTAATTTCTCAAGAATACCAAAAGGTGTGTCACAAAAGCACACATACAAAAGCTATGTATGCAACACACACACACACACACACACAATGAAGATAAAATATGGATATCTTTCCTGAGGCGTTTATAAATTGTACACAGTTCAATTATTAATGTTAACAATGAACTATTTTAAATTACAAAATTGTACTTGGATTAAATAAAAATTACTTACAATATAATACATATTACTTATAATAATTCCTTTTTGCCATCAATTTTGACAGCATAGGTACACTAGTAAATAGATAAAACATTCAATTATAACATTCTATATTTAAATTTGGTATCTGATGCCAGTAATATGTACAATACATGTACATTGTAATTATTAAGAAATACATATTTTTTTCAACAAAGATTTTATTTGTACCCTTTTTTCTATGTATTTTTTGAACATTTTATTTACTGATTAGGAAAATTAAAAAAATAGCATTGTAGTTGTGGATAGGCCCTCTTTGTCTCCTGGCAAACAATATTTTTAGACCTAGTCCACCACTGTCCAAGACACTTGAAAATTCTACACTGGCATGCAAAAGTTTGGTTCCAATTATATAAAATGGTTATAGACCTTTATTTTATTAAGATGTTAAGATTACTGAGCAGTATGCTTTTATCAGTAGAGTTTTTAGGCTAGGAATCAGTTGCTGCATTTCTTGTGAATGAAGATGTTTGGATAACTAACCAGTACAAAATTCTAATCTAAATCCTCTGCTGTACTCTATCTTTACAAGACATAGATCAGATCAAAAATAGAGTATTGCTTCCATAACTGGGCTGGAGCTGCCCAGTCTTCACTTGCCCGTCTTGATGGAATTCAAAAGTGTCTATGCAACCTTGTGGGTAATGAATTATTTTCCACCCCACAACCATAATTCTCCACAGATGAAACATTGCAAGCCTCTCACTGCTCTGTTGCTATTCCCATGGCATGTGTTCTGTGTTATATTCCTTAGTCTCACCAGCCCTGACCTTTGCAACTGGAACCCGCCATGTCACATACACAAGGGTGAATCAACACCATTCTCTTCATATTCCTATATTAAGAAGTTCCACTCAGGCAGCTTCTTCCTAAGATTTGCCGTGTTGTGGAACAGACTCCCAAGCAGGATGGTTCCCCAATCCCTAAAATCTTGACCTCTTCAAGTCTTGGGTTAACCATTATCTTTCTTGCATAGTACTATGAACTTCACTTCTTCTTGCCTCTTCTTACACTAACACCACAAAGTAACCCTCTATGTTGAGTGGCTCTTGGGCCTTGTACTGAGTGAATATTAGCATAAAAAGAAATTGATCATTGTAGTGGGTACTGAAGAAACAAGTGCTCCAATGAAAACTGCACAGTCAGCAAGAACTTTGGGATTACTACAAAGAAGAATGAGAAAAAATTCCCCAATGAGAAAATCTGAACCTTGTTTCATTTCAATTCCACATCGGATTGAGGCAATTATTTGAGCCAAAGGTAGCAACACTAATTACTAACACCATATTTTAATGTTTTGTACTTTCTGTAATAATAAAAATTAGTTTTTGAAAAAATAAAATTCCTTTTTAAGCTAAAAGTTGAAATTTTGTTAGTGACACAGTATTTTTTCAAGGCCTTTTTTCAGCATCACCCAGCTTAAGATCCTCTATCATTCACAATAATGAACATGCAATAATTTGTTTTGTGGCCCTCAAAGATCATAAAATGTACTTTGAAAAAAAGCATACTGCTAATTACTCTTGATTTGGAGATAAAATTAACAAAAGTAATTAATATACCAAGGTGGCATTCAAATTTTGCAAGTCAGTGTATATTGCAAAAAAATTAAATGGTAACAATTGAAAAGAATATGGGCAGTAAAGAAAATTTATTACCTTGAGTTGTTTTCGACCTGCACTTGCCTCATAGAGTCGTTCAAGTGGAGTGTGTCGTGTCAAAACATTCTGGAACATTATTGTAAGACTTTCACCAAGCTTTTGTATTCCTTGTATAGATTTAAAAAAAGAAATTGTCAGGTGACGAAAGAGGAAATAGGATCATAGCAAATTAGTTTATGTTAACATAACAAGAAAATATCAGCTGACAATGTTATTTTTGCAAAGAGATATATATATTATAAATTAACTGATTTAAAATATGTTTTTTTTCGCTACACAGTTCTAACCATGTTTCAAAATGGAAGCTAAAAGCTTCAAATTTAATTTTGTAATTTAATTTAATAATTTAATTACAAAATTAAATTTGAAGCTTTAATTTATAATATTAATGCTCTGTAAATTTACATTGAGCACTATTTTGTAAAAATAAAAATATCTATAAGAACACCGGATTATATATCTTACTGTTCTTTCTTTTTATTTAAATATACATATATATATAGGATTAATACAAATATAAAATTTGTCACTTAACTGATTGATTGTTTTTTATATATATATATATATATATATATATATATATATATATATAAAAAAAAGCTTATCTCAAAAATTCAAAGAAATTTCATCAGAAATAAAATTTTATTTACCAGTGTTGCAGATGAAGGCAGCTTTGTACTGCCCCACATAAGGGACCTGGTCTTTAAATGGATGAGAAGTTGGCAGGAGAAATACCTGGTATTCTGAGTTTGTGGAAAACAGTTTTTTCCCAAGGGCTAGGTCAACATCTGTAAAATAACAGAAAATTGCAACAAAAGTTTCAGATATTCATGTTCTATAAATCAAATACTTATCAGAGAGACTTGCAGGGCTCTATACAGCCTTTTTTTATCAGCATTCAGGAATTTCTCCCCAAAACTTTAATTACCCACCCAGCAATTTTTAAACCACCCTTAAATAAAAATGTTTTCTTTTTATCATTAATAGTTGTTAGTAACATAATTACAATCATGAGTTCCATAACCCATTAGGGTTGTAAGGACACCATATGTACTGCAGCTATAGTAGAAGTGGTGTGTCTTGGGTAAGACAGCTTGACAGAGTCCAACTTTCACCAGATTTGAGTTTTCTTTCAACTAGGTTGGTTGCAGAAGAGATGGATTCATACCTTTCCCAAGGGTATTTGTATGTAAGTGAATGTAACAAACTCAACTAGAATTTGAACTCAGTTCTCTGATTTTTCTTTTCAAGCTGCTTTGCACCACTGCACATCCACTCAGTAGCATAACAAAAAGGCCATTAAAACGTTTTAGGAAAAAAAACTGAAAAAGATAAAATATTCAAGTTTTAAAAATGAATGATTACAAAAATAAATTAGATTTTACTGTAATTTTTATTAAAAACAAAATCACAATTTTATTCAAATATTTTCATTAAATCACCTTGAATAATTTTTACATGTTCTTATTAATTAATTTTCATGCTCAGAGTAATTTATCATACTTAAAGAAATGTGCATTCATTTTCTACATAATAAATATTAGCACACTCATGCTTCATCTTTATGGAAAAACGTAGTATTATCATCCCAGCATCATTCCAAACTAATATGCAAGAGATGTGGTTCATTTTGAGCCCTACAGACTTGAACTTAGTAGAAGTTTCATTTTTTTTTTTATTATTCTGTTGATTATTTTCTTTGCTGCCATATATGGGCAGGAGCTGCCCAGTCTTCACTTTCTACTCTCAATACAATCCAAAAATCGTCTTTGGTTTGCGTCCTTGTAAGTGACAAATTATTTTTTACCCTACAACACTTTTCTCACAGACGGAACATTGCAAGCCTCTCGTTGCGCTATCACTATTTTCATGGAAAGTGTTCAGATGAACTACACTCCTTAGTTCTACCAGTACTAACCGACATGGCTAAGACCTGCCATCTCACACACATTGTAGTGAACCATCCTTATTCCTTACATATTCCTCTGCTAAGATGTAAGTTCCACTTGAGTAGCTACTTCCCATGAACCACCACCTTGTGGAACTAACTCCCAATAATTACAATTTTAACCTGTTCAAATCTAGGGTTGAATGTTATCTTCCACACATATCCACATAAGCTGCGCCTCTTAGTCTGAAACCCTCTAATTTGAGTGACCCTTGGTCCTTATACAGAATGAACATCATTGTAAAAAAAAAAATTTATATTGCAAAAAAATTTGGAAGGAAATTTTCATTATTGTTTATGCCAGATGATTTACATCACTACTTATATTACTACTCAGTTGATTTTTTTAATACTATTGTTCACCCAATACGCGGCCCAAGAGCCACTCAAGGTAGAGGGTTACTGTAATTTGTTGTATAAGCATTTATATTTGAAGAGGTCAAAATTGAAGTGGTCGTGAAAACAGGTCGTCAGGAGTCTGTTCTGCAAAGAAACAGTTCATGGGAAGAAGCTGTCCGAGTAGAACTTTCTTATTACTAATTGAATACGAAGGGGTAAAGGATGATTCATGCTCATGTACGCGGCATGGTGGGTCCCAGCTGCAAAGGTCAGAACTGGTGGAACCAACGAATGTAGCTCATCAGAATACTTACCACAGAAATAGTGATAGGATAACAAAAATTTTTGAAATTTCATTTGTTGTAAAGTGGGAAATATGCTGCATAGATGCTTTTGAACTCTATCAAGACAGGTAAGTGAGAACTAGACAGCTCCAACCCATCAGTACTAGGGATTAAAGAACAAATGGTAAATAAAATAACCTTTAATGGACTGTGACTCTTTCAAAATGTCCTGCTCTTGAGTTGTTGCAGGGCGTAAAGACAAAATGTGTTCAGACAAAATGACACTCTCATTATTCTGATCTGGAAAGAATAAAGAAAATTAAGGTAAGTTCTTATTACAGATATTCTTTAATTGAAGAATATAAGAATGTTCATAATCTTTTATAACAAAACAGATTCTCAAGTAAAATTTGATGACTAATAGAATAATTTTAAATATGACTATCACATATAAAATAGTTAAACATATAAGATAAATAAAATAGGACTTCTATATTTACATACCCAATTTCATATTGTGAGCTACTATTTTTCTTGTTTGTCATGTAGAATTGTTATATAATTACAAAAATAGTTGTGGTTAATAGTTAACAGTCAATTAAATCTGCATTTTGCAACTAATCTATGCAATATCCATTTCAAATTAAAATAAAATTATCTAACAATACATAAGTAAAAAAAAATAAATAAGCATATTATTACAAAGTATTTACATACTTGAGGAGGCACGGTGGATTAATGGATAGCAGCTCGGATTGAGGAATTGGAGAGCTGAGTGAATTCCAGTCAAATCCATTACATTCACTTAAGGGCTAATACCCCTGGGAAAGGTATGAATCTGCTTCTTCTCCCTTCAGCTATGGGTAAATAGCAGGACAGACTGAGTTCTTTAGCCTTAGATGGGAACTGGTCTACCACAGAAAGAAATAGCAACCTACTGTGGAAAAAAATCTGCATTGGCAGTCATGTATCAAAAGATACATGATTGCCTAAGCGTGTATCACACATGGCACATAACTGACTGAATTTACATATCATCAAATGAAATAACTTTGATAGAGGGCAACATGGATAAAAATGATAGTGAAGTCAGAAACTATAAAAAAAAAAAAAACTTATTTTGACTGCCTGTCAAGAGCGCAAACCATTTTTTTTTCAAAAGTTTTTTTTTACTCAAAAAAATGCTTTTTTCCAGAACTTCTGAAATGTTTACTGAATATTTACTGGCTTAGATTATATTCCACATAAAATAATTACCATTGAACAGAAGACCGTTTTATTTATGAAATGGTTCTGGCTGATTGATTCGTTTTCTATGGTTTATCAACTGGTTATTTAAAACTGGAAAATATTTTTAGATTGTAAGATTTTTTCTTTTTTGGCAGATAATAATGATTTAGTGATACATGTCTTAATAATTAACCCATAGCTGAGATGAAATGAAGTGGATTCATACCTTAACCAAGGGTATTTGCACATAAGTGAATATAACAAAACCAACTGGAATTGGAACTTGCCTCTTTGATTAACAATTCCAAGCCATTATCCATTACACCACCTGCACATCAAAATATAACAGCGCCTTGTATTCCCAAGTGGTCACCTGTCTAGGCACTGACCAGACTCAATGTTGATCTATACAGTGCTTTATCATGGGATTTTCTGTATGGTTAATATGTACCATTTCTTAGATTGAAGGTGACATCTAGAAAATCTATTTCTTTTGTTAGTTTGTATCTCTATGCCAAATCCTTTGACATCACAGGGGGAAGCTTTGATGGTGCATCTAATTATTAACTCATAGGTATACATCTGCTGTACAAACTAAGTAAAATAATTGATAAAAATGATACAGGCTTCTACAGGGATGATGATCTCATAAACTTAAGAAACTGTAACAGACAAAACCAATCATAAAAGTTTTCAAAAATATGGGATTCAACAGACATAAAAATAACTTAAAAGAATTAGATTACTAGATGTCACCTTCTACCTGAGAAAAGGTACATATAAACCATACAGAAAACCCAATGATTAACCACTGTATATACATATATCTTCCAACCCCCTGCCATCAATAATCAAACAGATACCACAATCAATTAACTGTAAGCTTTCTGACAATTCTCCAATGAAACCATCTTCAATAAAGCCAAGAAAGATTATGAAACATTATATCAGGTACCTTCATGAGATTGCTAAAAAAAAGAGCATAGTCTGATGAAAAAGATGCCAAACTTGACAAAAACAAAATTTTATCGTCTAAATGTTTAAGAGGAAAGACCAAAGTATTTTTTTAATTATTTTAAAAAAATTTTCCTTCTTTTTAGAACATTCTAAATTTTGATTAAAAAAACTTTGTTTCTCTTTGTATCACCAGAGCTAGTAAAATAACAAATTGTTAGCACATTTTTTTTTTTTTTGTATGACAGTCATTAATTTGGAAAATCTTGCAAAAGTAAAAATAATTTTCGGATGTTAATGAAACTTTCCAAAACTATTCATAAATGATGGAAATTATTATAAATATGTTTTCTTTTTTTAAAGTCATGGAAAAAATTTTTTTTATATTTATTACCTCCCCCACCCATAGTTAAAAGAACAAGGCTTTGAGGAAAGTAAATCATGCTTTTTGTTTTTTTTTTTAATTGGATTAATTGATTATCTGCCAATTTTGCTGACTCAAAAAACAAGATTTTTGACGAAAATTTTGGACATGCTAGGAACAATTAAAAATGTAAAAAAAAATACTCCCAAAATACTTTGATCTTTCCTCTTAATAATAACAAACATTTAGACAATAAAGTTTTGTTTTTATCAAGTTTGGCGTCTTTTTCATCATGCTATACACTTTTTTAGTGATCTCATGGAGATACCTACATTATATGGTTCAACCCATTGTACATCAAAAACAAAAATAAATGTAAGAAAAATATTCATTAACCTCATACAAAAAACAACACGGCTATGCCATGTGTATGTGTGTGTATGTGTGTGCGTATATAAATATATATAATACATACATACATACACAAGTGTCACCTTTCCTGACATCCAGTTTCATCAATACCCTTCCACAAGTAAAACCTCAGATTTTTTATTTGTTTACATTGAATTTTTTTTTAATTTTAATCGATACTACCACAGTACTAAATTTCATAATGTCTTGGATTTTTGTACTGCCTCCCTCCAATTAGTTGTAATATCAAAGCAACAAATAAAAGTGAAGACTTGTCAGCTTACTCAGGTTCTCCCTCAAAGTGTTCAGCAATTGAGACTTTTCTTTAAAAGCCAGATCAAAATTGATAATTCTTATCTTCACCATGTACTTCACCTAAAATAGAAAGCAAAGATGCCAAATCTCTATTATAAAAAAAAAAAGAGCTGATTCTCTGTCCAAAATGCACAGTCTTCCTGTGACTTTGCATGCATGTTTGTAATAGGCATTTATCTGTGTTGGACAGGGGTGAATTACAAGGGTTGGCTGAAAAGTTTATAGGCTGGCCAGGATATAAAATCTAAGTAGACACACCAGTTGGTACACTTGCACATCTTTTAGTCTACCAACTGGTATGTCTACTTACATCTATATCTTGGTCAGTCTATGAACTTTTCAACCAACCCTCATACATATGCTTGTGATATTTAATGTATACACAAACACTTGCACACACAATTTGATTTAGTTTGAAATAAGACATTAGAACAGTGTTTCCCAAGCTTTTTCTCTGGGCCGCATTTTTTAAATGAAAATTTGCTTGTGCATCACCATATTTTATGTGATAAAAAGTACATTTAAAAATAAAAAGCAGGGAGAGAGAGTTAAAGGGAGATAACCTTGAATTCAAAATCAGAACATTATCATTGATAACTCTATTTTGCGAACCCTAGTTACTATATTCTTAATACTTGATATGACACAAAAATATCACAATGATAAAATCAATCAATAATTATTTATAACTATTTGTATTTGAACTCATGCATGCAATTACAAGTAATCCATAATAATATTTAAATTTTGAAATCATATTTATTTTTGGCATATGAATTTTTTAAACTTTTTCTGAATCTTTGCCTTTCAATCATTCTGCCCCACCTGCTATCCTCTTCTGCCACACCTATCAGGTGTGCTGCACCATATGGAATCTACTACATTAGAATAATACATCCCCCCCACACACAAGCATACATTCAATCTGGACAATTCCAACTCTGGCTTGAACAATAAGTTGGAGACCAAAAAAAAAAAACAACTTGATTTTTTAAACCCTAGAAAAATCAGTTAATTGTAAGATTTTATTAAACATTTTGGAAATTATTCAATAATAAATAGAATTATTTAAAATTTATTTTTTTTAATTTTGTAGAAATATTTTTAGATTTGCCATTGAATTAAAATAAATATGTGCACACACAAATGTACATACACAATTTGAATGAAACTGAAATGGACATCTGTATTACAATGGCTAATTTCCCATTCTATATGGCAATCAGTCTGTCAGGTTCAACAATGACATCTATGTGCAGGGGTGAACTTGAAGGTGACTGTAGAGTCCAATGCGGGAACAGCAAAGACATCAGCAATAGGGACAGGGAAACTGTCCTGAAGGTTTGGGTGCTTCTCTTACTGTCGTCCTTTTTGAATGGACATCACTGATGCTCTCACATCAGTTTGCCTCAAATGTCTCTGTTTGTGTGTCAGGACACGCCATCCAGCTTGATCATGTGTGCACTCTTCAAGCTGCATTGGCATATCCCCAATATGCCAGTGCAGATGATGTTGTTGGCCTTGATGTAGTCTTTGAAATGTTTCAATGGTTTACCATGCTTTCTCTTTCCCTTAGAGAGCTCACAACACAGAAGTTGCTTCTGGATTCTGTCATTGTCTATCTGTATGACATGCCACATCCATCTGAGTTAGACTTCAATAGTGGTGGTTTTAGCACAGTCTAAGACCTCAAGGTTTGTGAACCTATCCTGCCATTTGATGTCCAGGATAGAGCACAAGCTTCACATGAGAAAGTGCTCCAACAGTTTGAAGTGTCTTCTATACAGGGTCCAGGTATTACTTCCAAAAAGAAGGCTGGTAAGAACAAGTGTCCCATAGACCTTGAGTTTGGTGGAATGCTTGTTGATAGATCTAGCAATAACCCTGAGTAACAGGAAAAGAGTATAAGCCAAAATGCATGGCTTTTTGAAGTCACTTTTATATCTCCTTTTGTTTTTAAAAATGGATATATTTTCTAATAAATGTTGTATTTTAAATGAACAATTTTGATTTGAAATTTGACCATGTTGCTATCAGTGAAGCAACAGGAACCAAACTGGTTTAAGTAATTATAAGAATGGGAATTTGATTTGTCTGTCCTATCAGCATTTACATGGGTCATGCAGAAGCACCTGCATTCACAGCAGTTACCAACTTATCCACAAATCACTAGTTTCTCCTTTAGCACATAATCCCATGAATGTGGTCATGTGTTGAATTGTTGTAGGTCAATACCAATCAATGGGAATTCTTTAAGTCCAAGCACCATGTCTTTCTGTTTACAATATTTGAATGTACACTATTGTCCTCATCTTTATTGTTGTTATCACAATGTTTCAGCCGTTCTACCCTTCATCAGGTCTTTGTTGATACAGGTAACTCAAGAAACTCTCTGTAGGTTACTAGGATTGGCATATACCTTTGAAAGTTTCATTTGACATGAACAATATTATCCTTGTTAGATTAAGTTCTTCCCATCACCAAATTAATATGTAGAAAATATATCCTCGTCTCAGAAATATCTACCTGCAAAGTTGAGGTATCAGGTAGGTTAATGTTTACCCAGAAACCACAGACTATCAATACGAATGTAAATTGGGAGAAGGGCCTTATCAAACATGGTCTATTATATTTCCAATGCTGTATAGTAGATTAGTTGGTTAGATTTTGTTTAACAGCATATCAACCCTGATGGGTCATTTTATGCTAACCAGGTGAATATATAGATTATATATATGTTTCTTTTTTCCAATAGTTGGAGAGGTTTAGTTTGATAGCTACAATTCATTTTAAATAGATTGTTTAATCTGTCAATTTCAACCATTTAAACCAGTCCTTTCTGTATGGTAAAACCAGAGTTTTATGCAAAGGACATAGTATATACATATAACAACCCCTCAAAGTTTACTGACTTCGCACAAAAATGTGTTAAAGTATATATAGTGAGGCTAGCAAAAGAAATAAGGCACCTACCATATTTTTTTGTGTATAATGCGAGAAATTTTGAATGAAAATTAAAGGTAAATAGTGGGGACAGTCATATTATACACAAGTACATGTGTTCAGAAATTTTTACTCAGTTTAAAAAAAGTTCTTATTTGAAACAGCAATATTGCAAATACACTCAGTTAGGACAATAGATAATAAAACAAAGTAAGCAGATGTTGATAACAATTCAATTGTTTACAAAATATCTCAGCCTTGTTTGTTTCTCTCTTCATTCTCAATTTTTTTTTTTTTTCATAGTTTATTAATATATAGAAATATAATAAAGACATATCAAACAGAAAAGTATGATAGATTAATTAACACCTTAAAATGTATTACTGGGCATGTCTAATTAGCACCTTTCCACAAAAATAAGTTTTGAAACAGAAATTAGAAGAAATGTACAATGGCTAAATATTTGGTTCATTTTTATTCTTTAATATTGTGAAAAATTAAATATTTTAGTGAAATGTATGTATGACATTGAGATTGTAATGGATTATATGTCAGAACTTTTCAAAAACATTTACATAGGGATGGCTGAACTAAAGAGTGTTGTATTATACTCAAGGATTAATTTACTATTGTTTTTAGCTTCAGAAACATGGTCGTATTATAAATAAGTAAAAACAAAAAAACACCAATTTGCTTCATTTTTACAAAGAAGCTGTAAGTATATGACAATTCAGAAGGCATAGAAATTTAACTATCTGGTGAGTGTAGTAACAAGCAATAGAAAGTATGACATATGAATAGTGAAATATGCCTTCCAGAAACTAAGCAAAGAGACAGGAAAATTTCATTAGAAATAAAGAAGAAAAATGCTGAATTGCAGTGTAACATCTAATTGCCTATATGACATTGGATGTTGGACAATTTCTTCACAGAAGAAGTGAAGAAACAGATGTGGTGCTAACCATGAATGCTGAAAAGACCGTGGACAGAACATGTGATGAATGAGGAAGTCTTAAGAAAATAGATACTACAAAAACACTGATACTTACGATCAGAATGAGACGACTGAAATTTCTGGGCCACACAATGCAGAAAGAGGCTCTGTAAAATCTAATACTTACAGGAAGAAGAGAAGCAGGGGGCAAGGAAAAGAGCAAGTAATCTACTTAACAAGTGAATGGATGAAGAACAGTAAAAAGAAAGATGGTACATTGGCAAAAATTACAGTAACAAAAGACAAGAAGTCATGGAGAGCCATGATCACATATGTGCTGAAAGAACATAGTAAATAAAGAAGACAACTTACTTTGCTATCTGTCAATGCTTGTATTTCAGCATAAGGTAGATGTACTCGGTAGACCTGTGTTGTTTTCCACCATAGAGGAATGCCAATCAGAAGGCATATAAGACTTATGCCCAGTGTGGCATACACTTGAGTTGCTTTTTCTAAAATGTAAGGAAAAAAAACATTAAGCAGATAGCTGAGGATTATAAACATAGATAAGAGCAGGTGAAGAGGGATGGATCAGCAGACAGCAGCAGGCGGAGAGGGACGGATCAGCAGACAGCAGCAGGCGGAGAGGGACGGATCAGCAGACAGCAGCAGGCGGAGAGGGACGGATCAGCAGACAGCAGCAGGCGAAGTGGGACGGATTAACAGATAGCAACAGGTGAAGGACAGATTAACAGATAGAAATAGATGAAGATAGAGAAATGGTGTATGTTATGGTCGATACAAGAATTCATTATTTACTATTTGGTTTTATGCATATTTTTGCCGTTCTTCCTCTTAAATCAACTTTGTCTACTATTTAAACTTCTCAAATAAAAATTTCAGAAAAATCTATACTATTTATATTTAATAACATAAAATCATATAATATTTTTTAAATGTTCGGAGTATGTTTGGTTTAAATTTAAGTAATAAACCAGTATGAAAGAATGAAAGAAAAGACAGTTGTTTTAGTTTTTACTTTCATCATAGGCTTCTAAGCAGACATTTTTTATTGTAAAATAATTTTATTTATACATTTTTTTTGTTGGTCCTATTTAGACTAGTTCACTTGTTTAAAAAAATTCTTCCCCCGATTTAAATGTTCAACATAGAAATAAATATCTGGTTCATTTCTACTCTTACTTGTAAAACTACCACGTTATTTTTGGACAATTTAGAAAATAACAATAACAACTCCTTTCACCACTATCACACATTTGAGGAAAAGATTTTTGCGAGCCAGTGTGAAATTATTTTCTAACAATTGAAAACCTTATATTCATAAAGTTCACACCTCTATTTTGAATCCCCTTATGGATATAAAAATAGAAGCATACTACTTCTCAAGGGCTCGCAACAATTTCGGAGGTCAGTTTGATCTAAAAATACATGTATGCACACATTGGAAGAGATAGCCAGCAACTGATGACTAAAAACTTGTCCACATACACAATACATAGGATTAACCAACAACCCCCTACTAAGCCTTTGTCTATGAACTCACAAGCACATTAGACTGAGCATCATAAAGTAAATCTATTCGCACTGTACTAAGAACACTTAATTACTTCATGAAACAAATTTCACTGCAAGGAAAACTGAATATTTTATTGTCATTGTATATTTCTGAAAAGGATATATAAATGTTATTTCAAGTGATATTCTGCTTCTACTTTTCCTTCAATAAATAATCTTTTAAATGTTTCATTTTGAAGATTTGTTGTTGTTAAATGTTTGGAAACCTGACACTCGGATGGCAGCAAAAACCTGAGAAGACAGACCTCGACAATGATGACCAAGAATGTTTAAAGTAGGTACCTCCACTAATTTTCAATACCTAAGGTTTAAAATGAAAAAGCTTTCTTGAAGCTTTCATTTTAACTTTAATTGAAAGCCAAAGGATTGACTTTACTATTTCCAGTAAGCAAAATACTCTGGTGTATTTCAAACAGAAATTATATTGATTGGAATCGATTTTTTTTTTTTTCTAAAATAGCTGATTAGGACTTTCTTAGTCATCTTTCATCACAGTGTAATTCTCTGTATAAAAAAATTTTCCAAAAATAAAATATACTTTCTGAAACTTCATTTGAGGAATATTAGCTTATTTAAAGTATTATCAATCTGATTTGAAAATGTGGAGAAATTGACTTTGCCAGTTGGGAAAGAAAGTGGTGTACTTAGGACAGGTTGTAGAAATGTTTACTAACAACAACAAAATTTGTTGTCTTTTAAATTTTGTTTTAACCTTTATAAGTGCAATGGTCATGTGACCATGATGTTAACAATAAGTTGTATAAAAGGAGAGGAAATCTCTTTTTTTTTCTTCCTTCAATATCTTTCTGGTTACCAGACAGTTTATGTCGTGGAAAGGGCAACATTTTTTGCAACTTAAGGTAGGTGTTATCGTTATAATATTACTTTCATTTCCTTAGCCTGACGAGTCCCTACTCATTCAGGCGATTTCTCAATAAAAAATATTATTTAAGTTTAAAATAACATAGCAATGTATTTTTAAAACAAAACAGTAGCTGTGTTTTTAACCAACATCGCTATGCTTTACAATTGACAAGACGATGACAGGTGATTATTGTTGTTCTACAAATACTTTATCTGTAAAACATAATTTAAGTAAATGACGTGAGCACCTTTTTTTTATATAATTAATTTATATAATCTTAAAAATGTCAGAAAATATTATCCGTAATAAAATTTTAGGAATGTTGACTTTAATTTACTATAGTCATCATCACTCTTATTTTCTGGTAATGTCGTGTCTGGCCGACCATACTTTCAAAAATGGGCACATTACATATTTTATATACATAAAAAAAATCTTTAAATTATTTTAAAAATCTTGGTGTAAAATGATTTTTATTAAGTTTTACAATTTTTTATTAGTAAACTTAAATACAGTTTTCACTTAATAACAATATCACATAACCGGACGAAAGTAATGCAGAATTTTAAGATTTATAAATTATAACTAAAATTTAAAAAAAAAATAAAAACAATTCTTGTAAATATTCATCTAAACAAAACAAATGAACCAGTCTAAGTAGTACCAACAAAAAAAAAATGTAATTGTTATTTTACAAAAAAAATGTCTGCTTAGAAACCTAAGTTGAAAGTAAAAAAAAAAAACTAAAACCACTGACGTTTTTTTCATTCTTTCATACTAGGCTATGGGCCAGAGGCCAAAAAAGGGCTTAGATTATGAGTTCATGGACATTTTATTCATATGAGAAAATTTCAAGTGTTTCTAGGAGTATTTTTCGTGCTGATTTCAAATCTGAAGAGATCTCCAGGTTAAATGTGTGCACTGCTTCAGAAAAGGGGAGATAATACAGGGTGTGTCATTTACAGAAAAAGTCCATTTTCATGGTTTACTTCATGTAAAATGAACTTTAAATAAGTTTTTTAGCACATTTAAGTGTATCAACAAGAAGCTGATATATCTATGCTCTTATATTATGTGTTAATTTATTTAATCAGGAATTTTCAGCAAATAAAATGACTTGCATAAAGCCATAACAATGAAAACGTTACTTTCTATTGTCGTGTGAGTTTCTCAAATTTGAATAACCTCATAAAACATTGCAATGTACATTAATTTGATAAAAAAAAAACATGAAAAACCTTTCTATATGTTTCCAAATCTTGTGCCTTCCAAAAATCATAGATGGAAGAACTGTTTTCAAATACTTCTGGTGATTGACTTTTCTTCATTTTGGACTGCCATTTACTTTTTGATGTAATTTTGTCACACATACACATTGACTGATATAGAAATCTTAATGTTTAGACTAACTTTGACTATATATATAAAAAAAATATTGTAATAAGAGTTTTTTTTCAGTTATGTTGAAATAATTGTTATCAAGTAATACATTTATAAAAGGAATTGAAAAATAATTGATTGTCCTCTAATCCTGCAAGCTCATCTTATCATTTGCCCTCTGAGGAGTCAGAATCTTCTATTTCATTACTCTGCTGCACTTCATTATTTTTTTTAAGTACATTAAAACAATCTATACACTGGCAAAGGTCGATACAAGGCAGTGTTTGATGAACACAAGAACAATGCCTGGAGTTACAGCTGTTCTTCTTACAGTTACACTTTACTAAGTTCATCAAGGTAGATGAAGTTTTAGGAAGGCTGCTCCAATGAACAACGAGTTTTTGATCTTCACATTTCCAGCCATGATTTGTTGCAGAAGGAGCATTAATATTAATGTGAAGACATTGTTGCCAAATTACAGCCTGGTAATTTGCCCTTTCTGCATGTATCCATAAACTATTTTGGCAAGGTGGTAGAGTATTATCCAATTTCCAGACATATGAAAAATATTAAAACGAGCAGTATTTACAGAAGAAACATTTCTCTGTCCAAATAGACAGAACACAAATTTTTCTAGTTGCTGGAACAAATCATCTGTCAGGTGCCAGTTGCAGCCTAAAAGTGTGAAAGTTTGAAGAAATTCCTTTGTTTCTTTCATTAACTCAAAGGGTTTTATTTTACCCTTTCTCTTAAAGCAGCTAACAGTATCACAGCCAGTGAATGCATGCAAAGAAAGGCACTTGAAAGAGCAGGTCCACATTTCTTTGCAACTGATTTAATAGAGATCAAACAAGATGATCGGTTGGTATTAGTAGCCATATATAAATCACAGCTTAATTCATTTTGATGAGCAAGGCAAAGAAGAAAAACATCCGTATCTGGAGTCTTAATGATAATGGAAGGGAAAGCAGTTGATGCATGCTTTACATGAAGCAAAAGAAGGGTATCGGCTTCTTCATGGTCAGTTGTTAATTCTGGCAAAGTTTCTGTGATTACTTCATTTGTGTCACTATGAGGACACAGCATGAAACATCCTTGGCTAAATGAAGCAATCACAGTTTTTCCATGAAATTCTTCTGCTGGTAATTTTTTCCAATGCATCAACATAAATAAGATGAGGGATTCTTTATTTTCACCAGACATGAGGAATTTTCGAAATTGTACCGGTGTTTTCTGTTTTTCATTCAGAGCACGTAACAGGTGGCATGGGGTAATCAAACGGCGTCTTCTTTCAGAGTCTTTAATACTCCATGGATTGTACTTATCACAGACAAAGTCAACTCTTGATGACATATAAGTAGAAGCAAGCTTGATTACATATCTAAAAACATAAATACTTAGCTCACCAAACCTTGATGGAACATGGTCTGCAAGCTGTTGTATTACTGCCATTCCATCTAATATCAGTGCTGCATTTTTTGGAATATTGTTAATTTTCATATCAGGAAACTTTACAAGAAAATAATGAAATAATGCAGCTTTGTTGGTACGCTGCAAAGAACCATCAATGTTACTTAGGCTAGATGGGAACCCTGAAAGGCAATGTGAAAAAAATTTCTTCCAGGTCAACTTTTCGGGTTCTTGCTACTATAAGAAGCCTAGCGAGAAGGTCTTTATCTGCTTTCAAGCAATCTGCTTCCTTCTTTCTCTTTTGTTGTGAATGCTTTTTCTGAAGATCACTAAAAGTTTTTATCTTCATTGATTTTAATGGTGCATTCAACTCCACATTTTCAAAATTAGTCGTTGTTGAACAAACTAATTAGAAATATTACAGCCTTGTTCATGTGCTGTCAAAATGTCATCTTTAATTTCAGAAGATGCTACTTGGCCAAATGCAATGTTAATTAATTCTTTTTCACAATATGCAAATGGATTTTGCATAGACTCAATTGTCTGCATGACACTCTGAATATCTGCTTCATCCTTTTGATATCGAGAACTACTCAGGTCTTTTTTTATTATGGCAGCCCTCTCCTTTTCCAGCCATTTCAGTACAGTTTTTAGAGATTTGAGCACGTTGATTAAAAAATAAAATCCAACGATGAACAGCATTGTCATTATTTGAGAATCCAATCTGCCCGCCTCTGGTCTTGCTATCTCTATTCATTGTCTGTTCAATCGTCTGGTCCATTGCCGTCTGACTAAAGGGGTACTGATTTTGTTGCTGAACTACAAAATCCCCAGCAGCAAGATGCTTTGCTATTGCAGGGTGGGAATCTGGAACAGCAAGCATCTCATAGATATAAACAGGAAGATATCTAGCATAGTTCAAATGGTCATATGCAAAATACCAAGGTACCATTTCTGCTGCTGATTTAAGGTGTAGCACGAATAAAATTTAAAAACAAATCTGCCATATTCAAGTAACTCATCCAAAATGCAAAAGTTGGAAATTGGCTGCATCTCTCTTGAATAAATAAGGATAGTTTGCTTTCAAACTCTTTAAAATCATTTGATGTGCAGAGATCTTGGAATTGTGTTTTGGGAAAAGCATAATATAAGTTTTAGACAATGCAATAAATTTAGCTTTTTCTTCTTCATTTTGTGTTTCAATAAAAGTAGATAGGAGTTTCCAATGACACTGGGAAACGACATGCAGGCGTGGAACTCACCAAGTCTGACAACTGTTTTTTGCATATACATGGCATCATTCCAACGTACTTGCTGTGCTTTAGCATAAAATACAAGATCAAATGTTAATACAATACATTCAGTTTCAAGCTCATCAGCAATAGCAAGACTTTTCAAAAATACTGCATTCACAGTACTTAGTTGAGTTGGGTTACCATTGACCACAGGTAAATATCCAATATTGCTTTTTGGTGGTATTTGGTCCTGTAATAAAAGAATATTGAAACCTGTCCAACCTGGAATTGGAGTAGTGTTTTGGTTGTCACTTTCACAGTGCATATTGATCATGGTCATAGCCAAATCAGTAATGCAATGCTTGTTTTGGTCTCACAAAATGATTTAAATAAAGCATTTTGAATGCTGTCAATTGAAACTGAAGGTAGGAAAGGGCCTATTCTTTTTTCCACATAAGAGTTATTTCAGTAAAAGAAATAATTTTTTTCATTCGTATTAATTGACTCAAAATGTATTGCACAAATATTCGGGGAATTCATTTTCGCCGTATTTAAAAAATTTTGAATTTAAGGGAGATAACTACTAACCTAAGAAACGTCTGATTTACTTAATTACCTCCCTTACTTGATTTTTTTATGCTCAGATTTACCGATAAAATATTCAATTTAAAATGCAATTTATAAAAAAATGCGCAATTCTCACCTGGAGAACTTTTTAGATTTAGACTCTACGGCATCGAAACTCCCGAAATCAAGTAAAAAATTTTCATATAAATTTTATGTCCACGGAATGAAACGAAAATCGCCCGTGGCCTATAGCCTAAATAATACAGTACTGGTTTATTACTTAAATTTAAACCAAACATACTCCGAACATTTTAAAAATAAACAAACTTTTTTTTTTCTTTTTTTTTTTTTTAAAGAGTTATTTAAGAACTAAAATTTTTTCTTAATTACTTGCGACGAGATGGTGGCTGGCTATCCTTCTATTCCGCTGATGTTCAATTACGCATTTAATAACCAAATAACTATTATGCTTCTGTTTAAAAAGCATAATAAAGCACGTAAAGAAATTATCATCATTTAAAAGAAAGAAATACAATATATAAATAAATATTTTCCCACCTTTTTCTTCCCGTTCTTCTTTATTCATGATTCCTGATGAACGAGATGTCACGAAGTTGTAGCAACCAACACCGGATATCCGGTGTAACGTGGTAACAATCCCTTCCAAATAAAGTTCTATTTGCAACTATTATAATTATATCGATCTAATATGTAAAAAACATTTTTTGAAAATAAACTAAATTCAAATTAAAAAAATAGACATATCATATTTTTGTAAAACATCCACCAATAGGTCCTTTTTAGATTCGCCTCAGTCCATATATATTTAAAGATTTAAAGAACAAATCAGACACACCTGAGCTTCTCCAGGCCTCAGTTTTATACAGTACTTTTGGAGGGATTTTAATCATGGGTTTCCATTACAATGATTAAGATTTTAAATTCGTCAATAAAAGTTATCCACATTTGTATTGCATCACTAAATAATATTATATATCTTTTTCATATACTCATTTAAATTTTACTACCTTTTAAGCTATCGAGTATAACATATGTTACTTGTCATACCCTCATTGTCACTGAAGAGTGAAGAAAGATTGATTCTAAAATTCAATCAATTCTTTAAAATGAAATAAATAAAGTAAAATTCAGACATTTTAGCATGCTCACTGGGGTAGTGTGACTATAGCATGTAAATTAGGGTTATCAGATTTGTTGTGTAAATACAATGTACAGAATTCTTAAATCATAATTTTTTTCTTACTATAGTTTATTTTTAATACTTATATCTATTCTCCCAAATTTAAAAAAAAATGATCAATTAATAATTATTTAAGTGCACAATAAAAAAAAAATAACTCTTCATGTGAAATTGAAACAGAAAGAAATAGTTTAACAATAATTTATATGGAAAGGAACATGGGCAATGACATTAAATTAGTTAAAGAAAATGTAGTTATAGTGGTAACAGAAGTTATAAAAGTCCTTGTAAAAAATGTAAAATGTCAGCAAAATTCAGAAAAAGCTGTCAAATTTTGTTGAGCTGTTTGGTTATTGATAGGTCAGCACAGTAGCAGAAATGTCCATTCGTTGAATGCAATGATCTGGTTGTTGTGGAAAACCTACTGAAGTTGGTACTGCCTTGTAGAATTATAACTGAAGTACGCGAGTACTTTGCATTATTAAGGAAAACTACAACTTGATTGTGGTTTTGTTCCAGATAAACATGTTCAAATTATTTTTTTATTTAGTTTTGTATGGTGTTCTGGAGGTCTTTGCAGGTCACAGGGTATCTCAGAACCCATGAACCTATTTTCTCAACTGACTGTTAAGAGTGCTTGATATGCTGGCCCAACTCTCTCTCTCTCTCTCTCTCTGGTTACTTACCCATGAATAAAATCATGAGGGATAATTAAACTGAGTGAAAATGTCTCTTATAAGTGCTCTGGTTAGCTCACTAAGCTAATTTTCAAAAATTGAATGAATGGTTTCAAATTCCTTCTCATTGGTTGAAAATAATCTTGAGAAAGGGTTCTGCAAGCATCTTTTTTCAGTATATTCATTATATATGTGTGTGTATATTTTGGCAGTATGTCATTATTGATGTATGTGTTATTGAAGACTACAGAAATTTCCTGTGTAATAATCTTTCTTTCGATTTTTTTCTTGCTTTCTCATAAGTTTCTTTGTATTTGGGTCTAAGTTGTTGAAAATAAAAAGCAACCTACTTCAAACCAAAAGCATACAGTCATGATGACAGCTGATGACAACAAAAAACGCTTAGCAACACGCCAAGAACTGGAGTCTTTTTTCAACAACTTAGATCCAAATACATAGAAACTTGCAAGGAAAAATTGAAAGAAAGATTATTAAACAAAAAACTTCCATAGTTTTCAACAACACATGCCTCAATATATATATATATATATATATATATATATATATACATGGTCAGTGGAATTGGAACAAACTACACCTGTAAATTAAATAGAGGGTTCAGTTTGAAATTCCCTGAAGGTTACCTGGATTGACAAGCACCTTATGAAAGCTGGAAGGCACAATGGCTGAAGCATTGTGATAACAACAAAGATGAGGAAAATAGTCTGTGCGTAAATACTAAAAATAATACATTTACACAATTCTTTCATCACTGTGGAAGTGTAAACTTAGGGCGAGGTTCTACAGTAAATTTTCACTGTGTATTGTTACTCTCATTCTCAAGACATCTGTACACCGCAAACCGACAATCACAGGACAGTACCTCAATTTCAACTACCACCATCCATACAGCACAAAGAAAGAGATTGTTCACTGCTTACAACACTGAGCAAAAGTCATAAGTGGTGACCCAGAGACATTAGATAAAGAATTGGTCAATATAAGCAGTACCCTACAACGTAACAACTACCCTGGGTACATGGCAGCAGCTTCAATAAACTGGGATGGGCAGGTACAAGAGGAGGACAACAACACTCAGAAAACAATCTGCCTGCCTTATGTGAAGTGGTTATCTGAGAAAATACAAAAGATCTGCGGTCCATATAACATGAGAGGAGAACATGACTAAAGACTGTGTGTACACAATCCAGTGCAGCTGCGGAAAGAAATACTAAGGTAAGGCTTCAAGAACACCAAAAAGCTGTAACCCGAGGGAAAGTGGAAAAATCAGGCATGGCTGACCTCATATGGAGAGAAAAGGGAGATCACCACCCTCTCTGAGATCAGGTTGAAATCATAGACAAAGAACATCATTGAAAAATTCATAAATTTAAGGAATCAGCACATATGCTAGGCAACAAAAATCTCCTGAGCCAACCAAGCATAGAAATGAATACAATATGGGAACCAGTAATAGGGAGTGCCAGAGAAAAGCAATAATAACGAAAATTGCAATATGAGCTCTGGTAAAAAAAACATGAATGATAACAATAAAAATTGCAATATGAGCACTGGTAAAAATGGTTGCTGAAGACATTAAGTTTATAAGTCCCAGAAATTCATATACAGATATCCTTAAGGACCCATGGCACAGTGGATAAAGGTTGGTTAGGTCCAGTGACAGGATTGTGAGTTCAATACCTGGTTAAGGCAGTGGAGAACTTGGAGAAGTGAATTAACAGAATTATTAGAACTATGGAACTAACAAGTGAAATAAAGGGTTCAGTTCGACATTCTAACCACCTGCAGAAGGCTGAAGCATACAATGGCTGAAATGTTATGAACAACAAAGATGAGGACAATAGTAATAATATAAATAAACTTAAATTGAGATATTTGTAAATATATCTAATTTAATCTTTTTTTTTTTTTTTCTCCAAACAAAAGCAAGCATTACTTCTTCAAAAAATAATTATTTACTTTGGAGGGGAATTTATTTTGTAGGGGAATGTAGATTTTTTTAAATAAATAAAGATTATATGAGTGATTTTTTTTTTTAAAGAAAGTGAAAGCAAACATTTCAACATAAATGAATTTAATTACTAACCATTTTGAAAGAGAGTAGAACTAAGATATGTTGAGAATTTAGTTTGGAAAATTGTTTATGTTTAAATTTCAAGTTATATTTGTATTTGAAAAGAAAAAAACTTTAGTCAAATAAAAATTAGGAGATAGACATGAGTTACAGTCAACATTATTAACTATATTTAAATTAATTTTTGAAAAATAAGAATGCTATTGGTTTTTGCTTTAATAAAACTTGATTTTAATTTATTTACTTTTTTGTTAGTTACAAACCAAAAAAACAATGAAGTTTATTTTTTAAAGATTGAATAAAATATTTTCCATAAGATGGCTGAAAAATATTAATAAAATTAAATTTCTTCTTTTAAATTTGCTTTGTTGTTATGCTTTCATTTACTATAGATATGGAAACAAATTCAAGAGAATAGAAATTTTAAAAATACATATAGCATGTCAAGATTATCAGCAAAATTAAAAAGTAAAAACAAACGGAATAAGAATTATTCCTATTCATTTTTACTTTTTAATTCTGAGAATTTCAAATGCATTCTAATTCAATTATTACATATATTTCAATTTTAAAATATCTTTGTAAATACAAATGATAATTTTTTTTTACAAAAAGGTGAGTTGGGTGATACTGAGACTGCATATATATTTATTTTGTTAATTATTATAGATTTTAGTTTTAGCCAGACACACACATACAAACAAGTGTCCTTTATTATATATAAATAAATTAATGGTAATTAGATGTTGCTTTGTACTTTTAAATATCACCTCCATAAAAAAATACATCAAAACACGTTTATATAGCTAAATGTCAAACAATGTTTTAGATTTTAACATCCTGTGATAAAAATAAAGATGAAGATATTAATAAAAACACTTAATTCCTGAACTTCAATTAACATCAATTGTTTAAAACATCTCCCTTAGGATGAGATTTAGTTTTAATTGTTGATATAACACCTTTTGCCATCACCTACACCCAGTGCTGTAATCACATTTAGTGTTCCAAACCTCTTAGAAAACATTTTAACCATGGACTAACTGTGCTAGTCACGACTCACGCTAGTCCAAGCTGGTTGTTTGTCACTGTCTGCTTCAATCTACATCAACTCTCCTTCATTATGTTCTTGACCTCAGAGCAGATCAAAGGTCATAGCAATCGCAGTGCTGGTTCAAGCCATGGCGGGTCCTATATGAAGGAAGAAAAATATCTTCATGACGAAAAATAAAACAAGAGATTCATGGGGTTAATCTTCAATTGGTTTATATAGATTAACCCTCCCTGCATCAATCTCTATAGTGACACTGGGCCTTGTCTAAACTTCTGGATTAGCTGGATTTAAATTTCATGGAATCATGAAATCTGGTGGCAGCTGACATGAATTTCAGAGGCTCTTGATGTGGGTTCTCACCCCAAGTCTCTGAGCTCCCAAAGCTGGAAAACTGGTGTGTCTCCAAAGGGTTCTGGGAATTTGGAATTCCCCAATCCTCATATTAATTCCAATAAAGATTTTCTTTGTTCCCTATTTCTGCTTTTTTAATCAACCTTCCAAATTTGGAGAATTATCCACCTTCCTTGAGAGTAGTCACAGGGATTGTTCCTCCCTTAACTTCAGCCTCCTTTACTTCACATCTCACACAACCACTCCACAGGGGTGAGGCTAAATCCTGTCTCTTCCTCCTTGGTATAACTCTGCCCACCTCTCAGGACTGGCATAACTGTCTTTGCAACAAATCTAATTTGTAAAGATGCATAGGTGAAAAGGCATAGTACTATTACCTCTGTCCAGCAAGAATATAAAACAGACCACTGCTTCTCATTTTAACTTCCAAGCAATAAATAAAAAAATCATTTCCCAATTTGTTTTTGTCAATGAAAATATATTTGTCTACCTAAATTCTCAACAAAGAGAGACACTGTTTTCCATCCTTGGGCTGATCGCTCTCTTAGCAAAAACATAAACCAGACCTGGCTGTTACAACAGGATCAATTTTCATAATCCTAACCCTCACAGTGTGTTCATTCTGTTTTTATTTCTCAATTCATTTTTGCCAACAAAAATATAATTCCTGCCTGTCTCTCCTCACCTCACCAGTAATGTGTTTTTCTAATTTCCCAAGAAAGAGATAAAGCCAATTCCTAATTTGCTTTAACCACATGCCAGATTTTCAATAGATAAAAAAAAAATAAAGTCTTCATGCATTGTTCCAATTTGTAGGGGTGAGACAGCCCCCCCACTTCCACATTGCCAGAGAAAATGTCTTCCATTCTCTCTATTTTCCAGTTTATATTTCATTTTTAGCTTAACCCTTTTTGTGCTTAAAATAAACATTTAACCACCTCACAGTGTCACCTATCTTTTTATGCCTCACTGAAAAATAAACATTTAACCAGATGTGCTAGTTAACCCTTTCCAGACAAACAGGCCAAACATAATACAGACATTTTATTGCATTCAGTTTCCATGGAAACAGCCAAATTCAAGATTAACAATGTCTTTACCAACAACCTGAACATAATCCTACTACAAGTTACATGCTACACAGGAGTAAACTTGTGTACTCTTTGGTTCCTAATACAGAGGTGTACCAAAAAAGCTTTAAACTTTTCATAACCAATGCAATCAGTTTCTTCTCAGACACATGTAGCCACTTCAACTTAGCAGCCAACTATCTTTTCCCATTTTTATGCATCACTTACAGCTAAAATTTGCATATGTGCAAAGATAATCTCACAAGAGAGTATCTGTGATGGATGCAGATAGCCCAAACACGCATGCACACATATATTAAGGTTAATCTCCGCCTGACAACAGAAGAGGTCACGTGGAAGTCTTGAGACATTTTGGGAAAGCAAGTCAAGAGGTTGACTGACCCAATTACCCGTAGCAACAGATTTCTAGACAGAAGCTAGACAGGGGACTGATGTAAGCTGGAATTCGCGCCAAAACGCAGGACACGTGAGGGTTAGAAAATTACTTGGGAGTCAGTTGCTGTCTTGTCTTTGAAGGAGCAAGACTTCAAATCGAGCGCTGATAACTTATGAGCGGAAAGATGAGACTCATTTGATAATGATGGAACTTGTCCGATTCATCCCAGGCAACTCCGGACAAGAAATATAAGAACATGTATTTCTGTTCGATAACTCCAAATTGAAGACGATAACTCATGTTATTTATCACAGAAGTCGCAAAGGAATTTGTACGCTGAGAATACAGCCTACCTTTGAAGAAAAGAGAAAACCAGAAAGAGGAAGAAAGTGTATATCCCTGTTGCAGTTTAATCGTGTTTGAAACTGTATACAGAAGAAGAAAGAAAGAAAAAAAGAAAACCAGGGAGAGGAAGAAAGTGTATATCTCTGTTACAGCCGGACAGTGTGTGAAATCGTATTTGTGTCAAGAAAAGGAAAGAAAGAAAGAGGAAACGTGAGAGAGAAAAGAAAGGACAATGATAAAAAAAGAGAACTGAATATAAAGATAATTATATATTTTGGACCCGTGTTAGAAAGATACACATGCATCCATAAATATTATGTTCTTACAAACACCTTTCCACATGTCAAAATAATAATATGTAACTCCTATCCCATCTCTTTTGGTTATGTGTTGATTTCTGCATTCGGAGTTATTCATACTTATATTTTATCCGTTCGGGTTCAGTCAAATCCATTTGGAGTTAGGCATATTTTGATATCCCAACATAAGTCTTGAGATCTGGTCGTTGGATGTTTTATTCATGCTTATATTTTCTTTTATTTTAATATTTTGTATATCTGTACATATTAAAGTTCTTATATCAAAATTCACGCCTTATCGTTCATCCTTGAATTGTGGCTCAGTATTCGTGTTGAAACCGAAGCGAACCTGGGAAAAGATTACTGTTCGATTATCCTAATTGAATAGTGTTCTTTAAAATATTTTTTTTTGTTTACTAATTGTCCATTGTAATGATCTGGGAGAGATAGCCTGTATCTCTCCACAGGTGTGATAATGTATATATCTTCTGGTCGGCATATGATCGCCTTATAAACTCATTCGCTGACTAGGGCATATGACAGTATCTTACTCCAGTATCAAGCTATTTTAAATCTATGACCGGCAAAGCCATCATTTCTTTCTTTGGACAGTTTACATGCAAGGCACATTTGAATCTTTGCTCACACTGAAGGTAAGTTATTTTATTCTTGATTTTATTTTAGCATTGCAAAAAAATACATGCAACCCTGGGCATCTTTGCTCTCTATAGTAATTCACTACAAGAGGAAGGGTCTTGATAAATGGGGGGGACGAGTCAGAATATTTCTCAACATGCAATAAATGGGTAAGAGTCTTACAAAAAGTGTAGGGATCAGAACATCATTTAGAGGATCAAAATGTGTAAAATTAATAAGTAGAGTGATCTTAATAAGCTTGACATGGAGTCAGAAAATCTCCTTAAATACAAAAATCAGCATCCTCACATAGTTCATTAGGCATCTAAGATTAGGTAGCTTGAAAAACTGAATTATCTTAAATTACTTCTAAATTTCACTAGTTTTAAGTCTAGAATGAGTTCAAAATATTACAGGTTAAAAATGGTTAATTTTAAGTGAAACCTCATTATGAGAGAATGGATATAACTAATGTTGTGAGAGAATATAAGTAGTTTTCAAAAAGGTTTCATTTTTCTTGTTATTTAAACAAAAATTTATATGCAACAGAAACATTAGAAAGAATTATTTCATTTTTATAAATAGAGTAGTTTAAAAATTAGTTTATACATTTTTTTATTCACTGAAAACAAAAATAAATTAATAAAATACTCAAAGACGAAATATTGTTTATAAAACATTTACTACAGATTGTTTTTTGTTTAAACACATGACATGGATTCATACAAATATTTGTGTGTGTGTATATATATATATTTATTACACACACACAGTTCGAAACAATAAAAAGCCATAAAAGTGAATTAAAATAAAATTTAAAAAAACAAAAAATATGAAAATTTTTTTTTTCCTTTGTACATTTTATTTGCACTTAAAAAGAACAATGACTAGAGAAAAAGGATAACTTTGACAGGGAAACATGAAAATGAATGAAAAGCAACAAAAAAAGAAATGAAGAGGTAATGTCAAGTTGGGTGACTAAAGTCAGCTCAGTTTTATTTGGATAGCTTGCTAGTTTATATATTTTAAAATTTGTGTATTTAGGCAGCAAATTCTCTTTTAGGCATGTCTGATTGAATAAATTAGAGACATTATGAATAACTTTCCATGTATTGATGTTAAAGGATGAAAGAAATGTATTATAGCTGTTTAAATTTCTTTTATTTTCATTTCCCCAAGTACTTTTGATCTTCCAAGATCATCTTCAGGGATGCAAATAATACAAACCTATATGAATGCTTAGCACATTGTCAACTGTTTTGTATTTAAAAGCATAATGAAAAAATTATGGTAATGGATAACAATGCACAACTTTGTATAAATACTTATATTAATGAACAACATAGTTTAGTATTACTTGCAACACTTCGAACAAGGCCCATACACTCAAACCATCAACCATGGTGACTTGTGATTGTGCGAGTACAACCATTGGTGGGTCCAAAATACCTACCCAATTTCACTCACAAGGCCTGTGTCAACCTGTGGTGTCATTTTCAGGCACTTTTCAAAGGTTCACCAGGTCAATAACATCAAGAAGTCAACTTCCTGATAAATCAACCCTGATGAGATTTGAACGCAGGTCTCATGGGAAGCAAACACTCTAACCACTTGGCCATGCACCAATCATTTTATATATATATATATATATATATATATATATATGTGTGTGTGTGTGTGTATGTGTGTTTGTTTATATTATCTCAAGGACAACAGTACAGCATTTTTATGACAAGTGAAAGGCAGTAAATTGATGTGGCAACAATACCAGAAATATTTGGTAGACCGATGAAGACATGTTCAGTCATGCCATCTCAAGTAACTGTTCACAACTCATTGATTTTATAGGTTTTACGTGCGAAAAAAAAACTCACAATCAAGTCTTATATATGGTTGATTGGGATCATGTCAGTTGAATGTGATTGCTATAACATTTATAATAATGAATTCGAATTCCAATCTAGTCTGTTGTAGCTGCATTGGTATTTTATAGGAGATATATATATATATATATATATATATATATATATATATATATATATATATATGCATTTTCTATGCTTATTTTCTTATAAAATCTGTTGACCAAATTGTTAAAATGAATTAAACAAAAGAAGACTATCAAAATGCCACAAGGTCATGGAAATGTATCATTCTTATTTTTTTTTTTAGTTCATTCTATACACAAGACATAAGACAAAAGTCAAAATTTTAATGTTTAAAAAAATGTTCTTCACCCTTTTAAATACATGTTCATAGTAAATCTAACTGAAACTCTGCCTTTTGAATCTCAAAGTAAGTAAAAATTTACAATCATAAAAAATGTCATCAGTTTGTATTTTAAATATGATAAAAGTTCAGATTCATCAACTTCTGATTTAAATTAACAGCTGTTTACCATTCACAGAGAAACAAAGAAGTGTATTCTAATGCATTATCATTTTCAGGAAAGCAACAAATTTTTTCAAACACTATTTTATTTCAGCTCTGAAATGTAATATTTACATAACCTCTTTTCATACTTAAATTCTAACAGCATTGCAGTGGTTAACATGCTGGTAATGAAGCAGATTGACAGAGTTCAGTTCTCACTCTTATCAAAACAGATCCCTACCAAATTTAGTGCTGTTTATAAATTTGAAAATTTTCATCATTTGAAATTTAGAATTTAAATTTATTTTTTAAATATTTTTGTGGCACTTAAATTCCAAAGAAGTTTAATGCAAAGCCAAACAAAGTTACTTCCATGCTGCAGAACACAGGAAGTAATGATTTTTGTCACAATTTCTCAAACAATTGCTGGAGCCTGAAAAATTGTTGGTAGAAATTGAGTTGTTTTTTTTTTTTTTAAACAGGACTGGGATACTAGCCCATTGCCCAAGATAGACTGCTTTCACAAAACTAAAGTGTTCTAAACTGCACTAGTATTTTTTTTTAGATTGTAGGATTTATTTGGCAATAATAATGAATTAATGATACTAGTCCTACTAATTAACCAAGAGATTGGAACTCAGCTCTCTGATTTCCAATTCCTGAGCTGTTATTGATTACACCAGCCACACATTCAAGCTTACAATACCTGGTATTCCCAAGCAGTCAACCAGTCTCAATGTTGCTTAACTTCAGTAATCATGCAAGAACCGGTTTTTCAATGTGATATGGCCATAAGCCTGCATTCGTGTAAAGGGAATGCAAACTGTTCTGACAGGTGTTTGAATTTTGTTCAATAATTCTCCGTGATGTTCCCTATTAGAAAGGCCACTGGCCAATTCTCAATTTTAATATGGGGAGGGGGAAATATATTTGCTTCTTTCTGCAGAACTATTCTGCAAATAAAATGTAGTCCCAAACTGATCCATGTAACCCCACTTGACTGTGTGAGTGTGTGTGTGGATGGGTTGTTGTAAAGAACACTGTCGAATTTCCACAATATTGGATTTTATCTTTATCAGATCCATTAGGATCAAGTTAAATATGAAGAGAAAATGAAATCCTGCAAGCATTGCCCCCTGTTAGTTCCATGGAAAAATGTCAAGCTGCACATTTAATTAAAAATTGTCATGTTAATGTAAAGTTTAAAAAAAAAAAAATTATATATATATATATATATATATATATATATATATATATATATATTCATGATTAAAAAAAATGTACTCAAACAGAAAATAGAGAAACCATTCCTTTGCATTTAATGTCCTTTCTGTTTTCCATAGTCTATAATGAACATGCATTATATCAACAATTGATCAATGTTCAAATGTTATCATATTGTATTAAAGGCATTTTACTAAGGATTTAAAACACTGCCAGCATTTTTAATATAGAACAGAAAATTAATATATGTCTATACTTATGCATATACAGATGGTTGGCCAATATTTTTCTCCAAATCCATATTTAGCAATGTAATAAATTTATGAAATTTTACTTTGCCTTTCAAATATGACAACATCTAATCATAAGATTGGTTTTTCTTCTTTCTATAAATGTCAACAATTCAAATGAATCAACAGGTACACTATAGACCAAAAGTTTTGGAGGCCACCCTCTGGATTTTTAATAATCACTAGGCCCATACATTCTTTAGCTTAATTAACTTCTAAACTAGATTGCTGAAACTACTTAACCTATTAGTATATGGCATTCATTTTTTTTTTTTTAGATACCAGGTTACCTAAAATTTAAAATCTGCCAGCACTAGGATTACCATTAAGCAGCAAGGTAGATTAGGCAAAAAGATCTATTTTAAGGAAAATTTATGCAGTAATGGGTTAATTTCATTATTATTATTGAATATCAATAAAACACTTC